TTGACGACCTTCTAGCTGCCAGCAGCAGCCTACCGATGCTGAAGGACCTGAAGGAGCTGCTGGAGGCTACCTTTGAGCTGTGCGAGATCAGCCCGGTCGAGAAGTATCTCGGGCTGGAGATCGTGCGCGACCGACCTTCGCGGAAGCTGTGGCTCCATCAGCAGACCTACGTCGACAAGCTGCGCAGGCGCTTCATCGACGAGGAGCAGACCGGGCGGATCCCAAAGACGCCGGTCTCCGTCGACGCCTACGCGGAGTTGACATTCGATGACGAGGATGCTCAGGCGCGCGAGGAGAAGGAGTATAGGCAGAAGGTCGGTTCGCTGCAGTTCGCGACGATGACGACGAGGCCGGACATCGCCTTCGCGTGCAGCAAGCTGGGAAGCGGCCTGACAGTGCGGAGCAACAACCATTGGCGCGAGGTCGACCGTTGCCTGCACTACCTCGCCGACACCCGTGACACCGCCCTGGAGTTTAGCAATGGACCAGAATCGCTGTGTCTGGTCGGCTACGCGGACGCTGACGACGTGGGCGACAAGCAGAACCGGACGAGCACAGGCGGCTACGTGTTCGTCTTCGGAGGGTCCGCAGTCTCCTGGTCGAGCCAGCGCATCAAGTGCGCGACGCTCTCTTCAACCGAGTCAGAGTACGTCGCGGCCACAAAAGCTGGCAAGGAGGCTCGTCGACTCCGGTTCCTCCTTGCAGAGTTCCAGTTGTTGGACCCTGGGACGCCGACCGTCCTTCGTGTGGACAACCAGCCGGCCATCACTGTCGCGGAAGACTTGGGGCTGAAGGGCAACCTCAAGCATATGGAGTGACGTTACGCATGGCTGCAGCAGATGGTGAAGCGCGGGAAGTTCGTTCTGCGGTACATCCCGACCACTGAGCAGCCGGCCGACTTCATGACGAAGGCGCTGCACTTTCTGGCATTCAACCGGTGCTCCGACGTGATCGGCCAAGTTCGTCTGGCTGACATCGGCGACGGTGACGACGATGTGCAGCAGTAGGTGCCGTGCCCTTCTGCACGGCTGGTGCTGTGACCGGCGTGCTGTGTGTTGTGTGCACGCCGAAGGATTTTCCCCGTGTATTCTATCCCTTGGGTTCTGGGTGGACCTTGTGCGTAGGGTGCCCATGCGTGAGCGCGGCAGGGGAGTGTTGAAGGAAGTTGGCCCCGCCCTCGCTTGGGCAAAACTGACTTCGTGGTCGGGTGTGTGGGAGATGCAGCCGACCCTCAGCGCGAGATCTGGAGCTTCTGCGCAGGTTGGGTTGCCTGTACACGAGGTGTACTAGAGAACCCATGCAAGAGTAACTGAAGCATCCGCGAGTGCAACGCAAACGTCTCATGCACATGTACGAGTGGCGCAGCTGGTGCAGAGGTTCGCGGGTGTTCATATGCGTAGGGTCGCGTCTGACCCTGCGCACCCTCGCGAATGCACAGGCAAATTTTGGCTAGAAATTCGAATGTGCCCTAATTTCGACCAATGAGGAGCTGGAATTTCGAAATGTCGACCGAGGTGGTCGACGAAGGTGGTCGACGAAGTTCGTCGACCCGCGACGACGAAGGTCGTCGACCGCGACGACGCGGGTCGTCTACCGCGACGACGCGGGTCGTCAACTGCGACGACGAGGGTCGTCAACCGCGACGACGAGGGCCGTCAACCGATGATGACGAAGGTCGACATGGCTCATCAGGGTCGACGAAGGTCGTCAACTGAGTCAGGGTTACCTGCTCGACGAGGTTCTGCGGAGGTGCGCGAACGTCGTCGAGGCTGCTGTGGCGAAGTCGACCGACGTGGCAGCACGTGGTCGACATGGCTCATCAGGTGCAACTGTCTGCATGTGGCCGACCTGGCACTGCGCAATGTGCGCGACAGTGCACGTCGTGCGTAACTGTCTACAAGCACCTGCGAAGTAGGTGCTTGCACATGCGCTTACAATCACTTGCGGATGCAGTGTTTGTCAGAATCCCAACCACTAGACCATTGGGATAAAAGGGCTTGTTTCAGTAACGGGTCAGTGCGCCCATAACCCCCCAGGCTAACATGCCTGTAACCCCCCCATAGGATCAATCGGGGATCTCACAGTGCAGCTCTACTGACACCCCCCCACACTGGGAGGCCCAGGACTTAGCACAGCGGCAACTACCTGCATGTGCATACACCGGGATTCGAACCCGAGATCGCTCTGATACCATGTCAGAATCCCAACCACTAGACCATTGGGATAAATGGGCTTGTTTCAGTAACGGGTCAGTGCGCCCATAAACCCCCAGGCTAACATGCCTGTAACCCCCCCATAGGATCAATCGGGGATCTCACAGTGCAGCTCTACTGACAGCGTTGGCAAGCCGCGCAGGTGCAGCGTTGGCAAGCCGCGCGGGTGCATCGTTGGCAGGCCGCCATTCTGCAGCGTTGGCAAGCCGTGCACGAGATGCGTTGGTGGGCCGCAGACTTGCTACGTTGGCAGGTCGACGACTTTGTCGTGCTGGCGGTCGGCCTGCCTGTGCACTAGCAAACCCTGCATCTGATGTAGTCAATCTTTGCCATTGCTTGTTCATTCTGAACTCTGTATTCTCAACTTTCATAGTGAAACTCTTGCTGTTTCAAGTCCTAGAGAACACAGACAGAGCTACGATCACTCTTACAACCCGTGCCAACCCCATAGTCTAGCTCCCACCGTTGTAGAGATTATCTCCGCAGATATTGTGGGCCATTTCACTCAGCCAGATGATAACACCCGTCACCGCCCACCTCCTCCTGCCCGCTGACTGGTACGTCAGCCCCTCCTTCCACGTCAGCCTCCTCCGCCCCTACGTCCCATCCACCAGCCAACTGCCACGCAGCCGACCATTCAGCATGATACGACCACCCACCGAGCCCGTCATCACCCCCGAAAAACTTATGAGCCATCGTGTTCGAGACCGACGTGGAGCTCGCAGGATCGAGTTCCTAATCCGCTGGAAAGATCGCACCCCCATCGAAGACAACTGGTTGCCCCTGGATAAAATTGAGAACCACCCCGTCTTGACAAAGTATATGCGCAGCCGCAATTTCCGGGATGTACACGCACCCTCGTAAGGGGAGCCTCCTTGGGGAGGGGGGTAGTGTAAAGAAAATTCCGTTTCCTTACTCCGCGCCCCTGCGTAACGCGTACACGACGGTTCCCGCCAACGGCACTCGACAGTGAAATGTTACCCGCTCGCGACACTCGCCTCGACCATTGCTCCCGCCACTGTACACCTCGCGACCCAACCTCACGGATCGGTTGGTAACCCGCGCTTCGTTCCTACGCCTCGACATTTCCCAACCTCGGCGCTAGGCCCGTCGCGCACCACATTCTCGCGCATGACCGTTACCACGCAAGGCTTTCGCTATATATTGTTCGCTCATTCCTTCGCCCATTGTACTCTTGCTTCGATAGTGCAATTCTCGCTCGTGTGTCCAAGTTCAAAATTTGAGAAAAGAGTAGGACACTGAACCGGGGTCGAATTTCCGCGTGTACGTTTATTCAATCGTGCGTTTTTCTACTCACGCGCGATGAAGCTGCGAAAGTTGCAGCAGAACGAAATTTGTTTTACATAGTTACCCAATCCGGATTTGGTCACGAACAAAATTGTATAGGTTGGGTAACCTACGGAAGTAGGGCGCGACTCGCACGAGCACTGTACAAAGTCGACTTCGATAGTCGAACTTTGTGTTGCCATGTGTTTATGCGACGGGTGAGGCTGCGATTCTACCTCCAAAAGTCGAGATATTCGACTACAAGTCAACCAAAGTTCAAATGCGTAAGTTCGGAAAAAAAACATGAACTTTATAGTACACTCCGAAAGACACACGCCCTTAGAGCTATGTTGGGGGTAGGAGTAGCTACAATCAACCTTCTCCACTTCACGCCCCACAAAATTTTTTGTCCTTGATTGCAGGTGGGGGGAATATTTATGTCCGTACAGAAATGCACAGTTCCGTACCGAACGTACACAAGCTGGAGCCTTCACCTCGTGCAAAGGCAGTTCAGGCAGTCACAGTCACCTTGCTTGCCACCCGCTCCCCGACCTCCGCTCCGGCCCGAGCCTCATTCTACATTTTGGCGGTACGCATGGGGAAACTTGAGAGACTCCACATCAGCAGCAAAAGACCTTCAATCGTCACCAGAGCGTATATCAACAGAACGAGTGTGCAAATGTATGGCTTTAGTATTAGTAAGTGAACTTGAAACATTTTGTTTCGTCGCATGCCAGCCAACGTCGTTGGAGGATGACCCACGGTGACAGGAGACTATGGAATCGTCCGCAGTCGCAGATATCGTGATGCGGTCGCTTGCTACGAAGCTGGTTGTTCGTAACCACCTGGAATGCAAGGGTCTGCCCATGTCGTGGCTTGATGTCCCCTCAATCGTAAATTTGGACACGCCCTCACCATCCTCTCCAGCCGCAACTGTGCCTGTAAACAATATCAACAGATTTCGGGCTACGGAAAAAACTGTTCGCTGCTTCACTGCTGCCAGGATAACGTCGGCTCGTCAGGGTCGAGTTTTGGTTGCCCCACCTGGACCAAGAAGACCAATGGGCCTGGCCCGTCACAATTCCACCCACCCAGCCACGAAACGTAAGCCCGCAGAGCAAGAGCAGCAGCACCAACCAACCAACCTCGGCCGCACTCACTTCAGTACAGAAGTACAGTGCAGAACTGTACTGAGAAAGGTGCATCTTCCTATTTTCTGAAATGCACCGCCATCCGCAAGTGCATCGGCACGGCAGCCTCCCCGTCAGTCTCACAAAACCAACAACCAACCATTCACTAGCACTGCTTGTCCTTGTTAGTTCTTATTAGTAGTCACCTCAACTCGCTCGAATCAGATAAGTTATTCTCCTTAGCCCGCTGAAGCCAGTATGTGGTGGTACATAACTTATTATTACTTATTTATACCAAGTCACGATGCGTTTTCTCATTGACGCCTCAACCCTCTAGTCTTAACTCGTGCTAATCCACTAATCCTTAAAAATGGCATCATCATCGGCGTACATGCAGCGTCCCACCACCGGCGGCGGCGGTGGCGGCGGTGGCGGTGGCGGCGGCGGCCGCCACACGTCTGCGGGTGCCAACCGCCCGGCCACTAGCGGGGGGAGCAGGGAAAGTAACGCGCGGGGTAGGGCGGCGGCGGGAGCTCCGCGGAATAACCCCGCGCGGAACTGCCCATCCCTGCTGGACATTAACGGCGATGGCGGAAACTCCTTCCCCTCGCCCCGCAGTCGCCCCGCGGATACCTTTTCGACCGCCAGGCGCCACCTTTCCCCCTTCGACTCTCACCGCGGCGGGGGACGGGTCGCCCGGAGCGGCGCGTCCGGCTGCTTAGATAGGTATTTGGGGGAAGACATGGCGGAAGCTGGTTTGGAGACGGCTCAGAAACAGCGGCATCTGGGGAAAGGGATGGCGGAGATGGCGGAGGAATGGCCTCCGCGAGGCTCTGCGCGGCGCCCGATGCGGCGCGCGGGTTCCATGGAGGTTTCTGCGCTGATGCTGCGCGCCAGCGATTTCGACCCCCCCACCTCCCGCGGCTTCGCCGCGAGCTACGGCGCCCGCGGGGGGAAGGAGCGCGCTGAACACGGGGTACGCGGAGATGCGTGGAACAACGTGGGCAGCCGCAATGAGGGAGGAGCACGGCAGGCGTGGCGGAGCGAGCACGCGGACGGCGCGGGAACTTTTGAGCCGCCTCAAAAGCGCGCGGACGGCGCGGGACGAGCAAGGGTGTCGCGGGAGGGCGGGGAGGAGATGCGTGAAGGCGGAACGGGGCGGCGGAGTAACGCGAGCACGGCGGTTGTAGATATTTACCGGGCGGAGGAGGGGGAAGACGAGGAGGCAGGCGATACGAGCTGCGACATGTCGCCATATGCGACAGGCGACACCTTTTGCGACCCGCTCTACTCCACAGGCGACACGAGCAGCTACAGGAGCAGCCGCCAATCGCGGTCCAGTCAGGAGTCCGACGAGGCGGACAGCGCCGCCTGGGGGGGGTGGGGCGCGCCGTGGGCGGAGGGCGCGGGCAGCGAGCGGGAGAAACCGCGGGTGGCGGAGCCGAGGTTCGCGGAGGCGGCGGGCGCGGGGGGACGCGCGCGGAGGATGCGACGGGCAGTGAGCAGCGTGGGGGGGAGTTCGTTCGGTAGTAAGGGGATGGGACGAGAGGGAGGCGCGTTTCATGCGTCTTCCCCCCGGCAGCGCACTGCAGCAGGAGAAGCGGGAGGAAGGGGAGGAGGAGGAGGAGCAACAGCAGCAGGAGCATTTGAGAATGCTGGAGACATTGGGTCGAGAGCTAGAATTGGGAGGAGGAAGAGTGGTGTGCGGTGGGATATAGCGATCCGGGACGACGAAGAGGAGGAGGGGGAGGGGGAAGGGGAAGGGGTGGGGGAGGCGGAGCAGGGGAGGGCAAGGGGGAGGGGAGGGGAAAGGGAAAGGGAAAGGAGAAGGGAAATGGAAGGGGATGGGGATGTAAGGAACGCGGGGAGAAGACATGAGGCGGACGAGGAGGAGGAGGAGCGCGCGTCTCGTTCCCCCCACTCGTGCAGCAGCGGCAGCTACCTGCGCTCGCCCACGGGCAGCGCGGAGACGAGCGGTTCCGCCACTCCCCGCGCTGCAGGCGCGCGCGCCGGAGGCGCCAATCGCGCAGGCGCGAGAACGCGCACGGTAACGGGCGGTAACGGTAGAGTCACGGAAACAGGCGGTGATGTCGCAGGTACGAGATGGGTGCAGGGCGGGGCGACGCGGAGAGAAAGTGAGAGGAGATTGAGTGGCGGCAGTGAGAGAGGGGCGGGGAGGGGAGCAAAGGGGGTGGCGGAAGGGGAGGAGGTAGAGGAGGGGGAAGGGGAGGAGGACGGGGCGGATGAGCGGCAAGAAGGGGGAGGGGACAGCGCGTTGCTAGGCCTGCGATCGCCGCAAGGGCACGTGCTGCCAGGCATGGTGCTGCGCCCCGCTTCCCTTGCTCTCCCCGCCACGCCTGCAGCGGAGACGCCTGGTGGAAAAACCCCTCAGCAGCAGCAGCAGCAGCAGCATCAGCCATTGGCGTTTGATTTAAGTCAAAAGGTGCACTTCTGGGGGCGGGGGCCTGGGGAGGAGGAGGGGTGCCGCGGAGGCGGGTTGGCGGAGGAGAGGGGGAAGGGGGGGAGGAGGTCAGAGGAGGAAAGGCGGAATGGGGAGCAGATGGGGGAGGAGTGGCTTGGGGGTGGTGTGCATGGGATGATGATGCTGCCTGGGCGGGGGATGGGCCGGGGGCGGCTGTCTCGGGGTTTGTCCATGTCAGCATGTGCGCTGCGGCGGTTGCAGGAGGATGGGAGTGAGCGAACCAGCAACTGTGATAGTGGCAGTGACAGTGACTGTAACGGGGGAGGCTATAGTGGTGGAGTGCGTACTACAGGGAGCGTGAATGTGAAGCACGCTGGTGGGGGGCCAGGGGAGCAGCGCGGGACGGAATGGGGAGTGCGGGGCGGGGAGGTTGGAGGAGGGGGTGTGGGGAGGGGAAGCGGGAGGGGGTCGGGCGGCGGAAGTGGCCGGGGGATGCGGGCAGCGTCGCAGCACGGGCGGCACAGTAGCATGTCATGGGCGGCAGAGGCGGCCATTCAGGCAGCGATGGGCGGGGGCGGGGATGTTGGTGTGAAAGAGAGGCTGGGAAACGGGGAGAGGTTGGCACGTAGGGACTCCATGCCTCTGCTGGCACTGGCGCATGTGGACGCGCATGAGGGCGGAGGGGGAAGGGGAGGCGGAGGGGGAGGGGGAGGCGGAGGCGGAGGGGGAGGGGGGAGGGGGAGGGGGGAGGGGGAGGGGGAGGGGGAGGGGGAGGGCTGGGTAGACAGGGGAGCCGAGTGGTGCAAGAGGAGAAGGATGATGCGCGTGATGGGGAGTCGAGGAGTGTGAGCGGCGGAGGAGGGTCGCGCTCCCCCCATGTGAGCCGGAATAGCACTGCTGATACTACTGCCACTGCTGAAACAGCTGATACTGCCACAAGCCATGGCAGCAGCAGCAGCAACGGTGGCCCCCGAAACAGCTTCGCTCTGCCCTCCTCAACCCAACAGCGCCAGCAGCAGCAGCAGCTATCTCCTCTCTCACTCACTCCCCGCCTCCCCCACCTATCCCCTCCCCTTCGCCAGCAGTCCTGCGTCGTCCTTCTCGACTCAGACCCCTCTGCCTCCTCCTCCTCCTCTCCCCCCTCCGCCTCCTCTCCTCTGCGCCCCCCTGCACGCACTGTCTCCCGCGCAATGGACGCATGCCAGGCTGCGGGGATAGGCGCGGGGGGAGTGGTGCCGAGTAGCAGCAGCAGGGGGGGCGGTGGGGGCGCGGGGGGGGTAGCGGAGCGCATGGCAGGGCGCCTGGCGTCTACGCTGTCGGGGAAATTGATGGGGCTGGCGCGCTTGGGGAGTGGGGTGCTGCTGGGGGATGGGCGTGGGGGGAAAGGGGGGAAGGTGGGTGGTGGGAGTTGGGGAGGAAAGCACGAAGGTGATACTGCTGCTGCTGCCCTCGCTGCTGTTGCTCCTGCTGCTGCTTCTGCTGCTGCTGCTGCTGCTGCTGGTGGTGCTGGTGGCACTAGCACTAATGGCACGGGTGACACTAGTGACTCTCTTTCTGCAGTCACCACTGCACGGGTAGCTTCATCAGTATCATCACCACTCTCATCATCACCATCACTACCATCATCACCAGCAGCAGCAGCAGCAGCGTCCGCTGCAGCAGCAGCAGCAGCACTGGGAGGGGAACCAGGGGCAAGGGAGCACAGTCACCTCCGCCCTGCCCCATCCGACGCTGCTTCCCGTCCCCGCACTGCAGGCTTTCGTTCCGCCTCCATTGCTGGCCCTTCCAGACCGGACGCGTCAGCAGCAGGGGGAAGCTTTGCGGAGCTTCTGGGGGGAAGCAGGGCGGAGAAGGGCATGGGGAGGGGGCGGCTGCGGTCGTCTGGGGGGAGTGGGATGTGGGCGGAGTGGCACTCCTCCTCCCGTGGCCCTGGCAGCTTTCTCGGCGGTGGCTTGCTGATTGGGAAAGCTGTGGGCCAATCGCGGCCCGCCACGGCAGCAGCCCGGGTGTTGAGGTCTCCGACTGGTGGTGGGAGCAGCAGCAGTGGTGGTGGTGGTGGTGGTGTTGTCTCTTTCGAGAATTCTCAGAAAGGTGCGGGGAGGGAGCAAGAGGCGGAGGAGGGGCGGAAGGGAGGGTTGTTGCGAGCGGCGGAAGGCAGTGGGAAGCAGCCTAGGTATGTGTGCCTTGCGCCTAGTGAGGACAGTGAGGAGAGCGAGGAGGGGAGTGAGAGAGGGAGTGAGCAGGGGAGTGAGAAGGTCGGTGAGAAGGGGATGGAGAGGGGGAATGAGAGGGTTGGTGATAGGGGGAGTGAGAGGAATTGTGAGAGGGGGAGTGAGAAGGGGAGTGTGAGGGGGAGTGAGATGGGGAGTGAGAGGGAGAGAAGAGTGGACTTGTATGAGGATGACCGTGCTTCCGTGGCAAGTAGTGAGCAGACAGGGAGGGGAGCGCAGGTGGGTGGTGGTCAAGGAAGCAACGGCAAGGGGTACCAGTATGACGGGGAGCAAGGGGAGTTGTATGGTGGCATGGGGCGGGGTGGTGATGGGATGGGCGGGAGTGGTGCAGGAGAGAGCGAGCAAGGCAGTGTGGGACGGGGTAGGAAGGGCGTGGGTGAGGGGCAATGGGCGGGCTCGCATCTTGACATCCACACCTCGCATCATGAGACCCACACTGCACATCATGAGACCCACCGCTCCCATCATGAGGCTCACCCCTCACATCACGAGAAGAACCACCCCTCGCAAGAAGCGAACAGGGGTTTTCCGGCCGAGGTGGTGTGGGCTGATAGTGCGCTTCGTGGCATTGACGATTCTCTGTGGGTTGATCCTGATAGCAAGAGCCAAGGACAAGGAGCTTGGGAGGAGGAGGAGGAGGTGGATGCGGAGGAGGGGCAAGGAGGGGAAGAGGAGGAGGAAGAGGAGGAGGAAGAGGAGGAGGAGGAGGAGGAGGAGGAGGAGGAGGAGGAGGAGGAGGAGGAGGAGGAGGAGGAGGAGGAGGAGGAGGAGGAGGAGGAAGAGGAGGAGGAAGAGGAGGAGGAAGAGGAGGAGGGAGAGGAGGAGGAAGAGGAGGAGGGAGAGAAGGAAGTAATAAGTGTGAGGGAGCGTAGGGTGAGTCCGTTTGTGCAAGTCGAGGAGAGGGGAGGGTGGAGAGAGGAAGGGAGGTGCAGTAGAGGGGAGGAGGAGGAGGATGAGGAGGGAGAGGGAGAGGAGGGAGAGGAGGGAGAGGAGGTAGTTGTGAATGGAAGGGATCCCTGGGAGTCGTGGAAGGGTAAAAACGGGAGTGAGAGGCAAGGAGGGAAGGGCAGGCAGGGCAGCGAGTGTGTAGCCCGTAAGGAGGAGGACCTTTATGGGGAGAGGCGCGTTGGTGGTGCGGAGGAGGAGGAGGAAGAGGAGGATGATGATGGGTGGTGGCGGGATGGCAGGAGAAGAGACGACAGGAGACGAGAGGAGGCAATGGAGGAGGAGAGGAGACGGGGGGAGCGAAGGAGGGAGGAGGGGAGGAGACGGGAGGAGGAGAGGAGAAGAGAGGAGGATAGGAGGAGAGAGGAGGAGAGGAGGAGAGAGGAGGAGAGGAGGAGAGAGGAGGAGAGGAGGAGAGAGGAGGAGAGGAGAAGAGAGGAGGAGAGGAGGAGAGAGGAGGAGAGGATTCGAGAGCAGGTGCGGGCAGAGGAGAGGCAAAAAGTCCTGGAGGAACTAGAGCGGGAGAGGGAGCAGAGGAGGAGGGCGGAGGGGGAGCTTCGGAGGCTGGAGCAGGAGAGGAGGGAGCAAGAGGAACGCATGCGAGCGATCAAGGAGAAGCGGCGAGCAGCCAAGCAGAGGCTGAGGGTTGATGTAGCAGGGCTGCGCACCCCCACATCCGCCTTTCCCTCCTCCTCTTCCTCCTCCTCTTGCTCCTCTGCTACCTCCTCCCCTGTGTTCTCCCCACTCATGTCGTGTCCTGTGAGGTCTCCCTCCCCTCTCTCCGCCTCCCCCCTCTCCGCCTCCCCCCTCTCCGCGTCCCCCCTGTCCGCGTCCCCTCTCTCCTCCTCGTCTCCCTTCCGCAAGACAGCGAGGAGCAGCAGAATGGAGCAGCAGCGAGCGGATGCGAGAGGAGGGGGAGTGGGACACGGTGAGGCGCCGGCACGAAGTGGCGTGGCTGCGTGGGCTGATGCTGTGGATGCTGGGGGGAAGTGGCCGGGAGGTGGGGATGCGAGGAGAGAGGGAGCAGGTGAGGACGAGGGAGAGGGTGGGGGAGATGGGAGGTGGGGGATGCAGGGAGGGAGTATGCGACCTGTCACGCCCGAGCCGATGAGAGCACGGCTGACTCGGAAGAACAGAGAGGTGATTCGGCCCAGCAAGGCCAAGAAGAAAAAGAGGGAGAAGGTGAAGGGGAAGGGGAAGGAGAGGGATGAGACGGATAAGGAGGGGGAGCAGGGGACGGAAATGGAGGAGGAGGAGGGGAGGAGCAAGGCTGGGAGGAGATCTGGGGATGTGGTGGGGGAGAGGGCAGTGTGGAGTGAGATGCGGCACAGAGAGGCAGCGGAGGATGAGTGCACTGGAGTCGTTTGGGATGGGAAGAAGGGAGCCAGAAAGGGGAGACAAGGAGAGGAGGAAGCGGAGGAGGACGAGGTGGTGGGGGAGGAGGACAGGGAGGAGGAGGAGGAGGACGGAGAGGAGGAAGAAGAAGAAGAGGAGTGTGAAGGCGGCGAGTTGCAACTGGAACCAGACGGAACCTTAAACATTCTCCAGCGGCCGTTTGTGCCAGTTGCAGACAGCTACTGGCTGGACCGCAGCGAGCTGGGGCGCGGCAGGTTCGGCATCATCCGGCTGTGCCTGTGCCGCAGGACCGGAGGCAGGTTCGCGTGCAAGACGATCAGCAAGGAGCTGCTGACGTGCCAGCAGGACGTGGAAGATGTGCGGAGGGAGGTGGCGGTGATGGGGTTGATGCACGGCCACCCGCATGTAGCGGCGCTTATGGACACATTTGAGGATGAGCAGGTTGGTCCCCCTCCCCCTTCCCCATTCCCCCTCTAAGTCCCTCTGGGAGGTGGCGGTGATGGGGCTCATGCATGGCCACCCGCATGTGGCGGCGCTCATTGACACGTTTGAGGATGAGCAGGTGAGTTTGTTGCGACGTACTTCTTGAGGCCATGTGTCTGATGCCCTTTGACGCGTCTTGAGACGGGTGCCAGGCTGCCAGGCTGCCTTGCTGGCTGTTGTGGTTGCCTTGGAGCTCACTGACTCATGCAAACTGAAGTTGGTGCGTGGGCACGAGCGAGCACACATGCCTGTTGTGCTCATTCCAAATCGACACACCTTGACACCTCTCCTTGTCCGCCCTTTTCTCCTTTCCTCTCCCTCCCCCGCCCTGCCCCTCCCGCCCCCTTCCCACCCCCTCGCAGCACGTGCATCTGGTGATGGAGCTGCGTGGGGGCGGGGAGCTGTTCGACCGCATCAAGGCCCAACCAATGGACCAGACCAGCCTCCACCCCACGCCCTAACACCCCTATCCCATTCCCACCCCCTCCCCCCTCTCAGCACGTGCATCTGGTGATGGAGCTGTGTGCGGGGGGAGAGCTGTTCGACCGCATCAAGGCCAAGGGGCGCTACTCGGAGCCGCAAGCAGCCGCCGTGGTGGCCACCGTGGCGCTGGCTGTTGCGCTCATGACTCCTCAGCTGATGCATCGGCACAAGTTCATACCTTGACACACCTCTCCCTTTCCTGTCGTTCCTCCCCCTTTTCCTCCTGCCCCTCTTCCCCCCATTATCCCCCCCGTTCCCCCGCCCCCCCCCCCCCCCCCCCCCCTCTCTCTGCAGCACGTGCATCTGGTGATGGAGCTGTGTGCGGGGGGGGAGCTGTTCGACCGCATCAAGGCCAAGGGGCGCTACTCGGAGCCGCAGGCAGCCGCCGTGGTGGCCACCGTGGCGCGTGTGCTGCAGCAGTGCCACGCTGCGGGCGTGATTCACCGCGATGTGAAGCCGGAGAACATCCTGCTGTGCACCAAGCAGAGCGACACCGATGTGAAGCTCATTGACTTTGGCGTCGCCACCTTCTTCCACCCAGGTGAGAGGGGGGAGGGGGGGAAGAGATCACGGGGGGAGGCACAGTGGGAGGCAGGGGTGGAGGGTTAGGAGGAAGAGGCACATTGGCACATGGGCACGGGGGAGGCGAGGGGCAAGGCATGGGGGTGTGGGGAGTGGGGGACATGGGCACGGCAGGCAGCCCTTACTACTTGACTCTCAGAGATCAGCGCTGAGACACCTGGCAGCCAAATGCATGGCTTTTCTCCTTACCCTTCCCCCCATCAACCCCGCCAGGCGTGCCGTGCACAGACACGGCACCATGACAGGCTGTCCCTACTACCCAGCCCCATCGCTTCTCCTCCCACTCACCTCTCCTTCCACCTCCCCCTTCCCCCATCCCCCCCTAAACCTTTCCAGGCGTGCCGTGCACAGACATGGCTGGGAGCCCCTACTACCTGGCCCCAGAGGTGCTAGCAGAGAGCTACGGGCCGGAGGCAGACGTGTGGAGCACGGGAGTGGTGCTGTACATCCTGCTCTCGGGTCTTCCACCCTTCTGGGCGCCCACCAACGAGGCCATCTTCCAAGCCATCAAGGCCGCCCCGGTCAACCTCGTGCGCCCGCCGTGGCCGTCGGTGTCCGGGGAGGTGCGGGACCTGGTGCGGCGCACGCTGGAGAAACGGCCAGAAGACCGGATCACGCTTGCGGAGGTGCTGGGTGAGTGTGCTGAAGTGGGCTGGTGCTGGGATGCATTGGATTGCATTGGGTTGTGTTGAGGTCCGGGGAGGTGTGGGACCTGGTGCGGCGCATGCTGGAAAAACGGCCCGAGGACCGGATCACTCTCGCGGAGGTGCTGGGTGAGTGTGCGGCTGCACGGCGCGGGGGATGTCGTCTTGAGCTGGGCTGGGCTGGGCTGGGCTAGGTTGCGTTGGGTTGCAGTGGGTTGCACTGGGTTGCAGTGGGTTGCGCTGGGGTGACTTGCGAAGCACTGGAAGGGAATGAGTGCATTTGGTGGCTCCACTCAAACCGTGGTCGATAACTGATTGCCATCGCTTTGCCCTGTGTGCAGAACACCCGTGGATTGTGCGACACACACGCCCCCCTGCCCCTAGTGAGGGCTGCTCGTAGCAGGGCGCACGTGGCAGAGATGCGTACTACTGTGGGGGGACTAACCTTGCTTGCCGTGGGGGGACTACGGCTTACGAGATGAGTACTGACCAGCAACATAGGGTAGCTGTGGGGGGACTAACCTTGCTTGCTTGCCGTTGATACTTATTTATTTACCCATTATTACTGCCATTATGAATTACAGGCACAGTAGGAAGTTTGTTCCTGGGCAGTAAGTTCGTTTTGCTATTTGTAATAAATTGAGTGCAATACGGTAGATTTGTGTCAGAAGACCAGCACTGGGGATGCCCGATTGATCATAGGGAAGGGTTACTGGCACGCTAGCCTGGGGGGTATGGGTGCACTGACCTTCTAGTTGGGTCCACTTGATATACTGATTCAGACGTTACTTTCGTAGGGTCCACACCACGCCCTTTTATCCCTGTGGTCTAGGCTGGGATTCTGACAATTTGCTGCCAAATTTGATTCTCCCAGTTATCATGCCTGTTTCTCAGTTCACTAAACTTACACAAAGCATTAAAAAGTAACACTTGTTCTCCACAAGATTGTCATTGATTGTGCCCATACCACACCCTCCCCCCCCCTCCAATACATTTACTCCACACACACAGCCCCATCCTCCCACCCACTGGCATCAGCACCTCCCGCCACCTACTTTCGAGTCGCCTCAAGCAAGCAGAACCAGCAGCGGCCTCTGTCACACCGCAACAGCAGCAGCAGCAGAAGCAGCAGGAGCAGCAGCAGCAGCAGCATCAGCAGCACCAGCAGCAGCAGCATCAGCAGCAGCAACAGCAGCAGCAGCGTGCCTGCCTGCCAGGTCATACCCTGCAAGGCACATCTGTGGATGATCTCTCTCCGTGGCGGGGGAAGGGAACATGGGAACTGGGCAATTCCACCACCGTGGTGCATCGCATCAACAACCAACCGCCTCCAACACTTCCATGAACAGAACCTGAAGCACGGCACTAGAGCATGAGAGCTGCAGCCAGCAGGGCTGGCAGCAGCAGGCAGAGAGCAGCACGGGCAGCGGGGAGAGGACCGGCCGCACTGGGCGGCGGGGGTGCGGGAGAGGGGGTGACAGGCGCAGGAGGGGGAGGAGAGCTGGGGGGTGCAATCGGGGGAGACGGGGCGGGGGAGGACGCGGGGGCTGGTGACGAGGGTGGTGCTTCGGTCGGGGTGGAGGTTGCTGGGTCTGCACACATGCACACACACATGCACGCACACACGGATGGACATCGATAAATTCACGAGGGATTTAGGAGTTTCGAGAAATCTCATGAGGGTTCGTTCACTGCCGGCGAAGTTTTGCGGAGTATAAGAAAAAGCCTCTCGCTCTTTCTCGAGAGTGCACTCATTGTCGGGGGGAGTGCAGGTGGTGGTGCAGAAGGCAGGGCAGGGGCCTGGCAGAAGGAGTTGGGTTTTGAGACGTCTGAAAACTTACTGCCGGGGGGCGTGCAGGTGGTGCAGAAGGCAGGGCAGGCCTGGCAGAAGGAGGAGTTGCCCTGCTGATTCACCCCCATGCAGCTGCCACCAGTGGCCGGACACACGGGACTGCTGGGGCTGGAGGAGTTGAAGAACCTGTGACAAGGGTGGGGGGAGGGGAGTGTATGTTTCTTTTGAGTATTCTCAAAAGGGACACACGGGGCTGCTGGGGCTGGACGAGTTGAAGAACCTGCGACAGGGGAAGGGGGGAGGGGAGGGGAGGGGAGTGTATGTGGGGAGGAGGATCATGGGAGGGAAGAGAGGCTTGAGTCCCGGTTGAAGCGTCGCTGTTGGGCGGGGTTGTGGGGTGGTAACCTGTTGTGCCCTGGATGTATCAGCGATCTTCACTTTTTTACACACGTGGAGCATTCTATAAATATGGAAGGGGGAGGGGCGAGGGGGAGGAGAGAATGAGCGAAGACAGAGTGAGAATGGGGGTGGAGAAGAGTCAGAGCAAGAGGGAGAGAGGGCAGCCAAGTGCAACACCAATTGTGAGGGCAAACAAAGGAGTTCAGTGGTAGTGAGATGCCTAGAATGGAATGGAAGCACATGGAGGTGCTCGATTAAGGTGAGATCGTGAGTACGACCATAAGACTGTGAGGCTATAAGACCGTGAGAACGGGTATCCAACATAGTGTGGTGTGAGAGGGTGCGTGGTGGCGTGGCTTTTGAAAATGGTCAAAAGTGACTCGAACGTGGTCTTACAGGGTGAGCAGATTGGTGAGGTTGCCCAGTGAAACAGGCAGAGATCCCGTGAGCATGTTCTCACTCAGGTCACTGCTTATGATGCATGCACATGAATATGGACACACATGCACACACACATGCACACACACATGCACACACACATGCACACACACATGCACACACACATGCACACACACATGCACACACACATGCACACACACATGCACACACATGGACTCACATGCACACACATGCACACACACATGCACACACACATGCACACACACATGCACACACATGCATCCGCACACACGCAAGGCAGAATGAGAGATCGTTTGAGTAGTCCAAACGGACCCAGGCAAGACAGAGGGTGGTTCCAGCAGGGTATTTGAATGATCGGCCCAAGTCAGTAGAAGGCGTAGGGCAACAGCGGGCGGCGAGTGAGCACCAAGGCGTTGACACGATACAGCAGGCGGTTTACAGCGAAGCGACCTCACAAAGTTATGAGACGCCTCGAGAGAGAGAGAGCGAAGACAGGGCTCTCAAGCGCCCGTGAAGGCAGAGAGGGAGGAGGTAGAGGCAGGTTGAGCAGGCGGGTCGTCGAGTGAGGGAAAGCAATGGACAAACAAGGAACGTGCGAGAGTAACCAAGCGTTAAGGGGCCCGAAACAAGAACCATGCATTACGGACACGACTACTACTCGAGGGATACACGAGAGTAATAATAGTGAGACAGTGAGGCAGTGAGACAGCGAGGCATCTCTAGAGGGCAGGCACGGGGGTGCGGGTGCGTACAGATTCTTGAGGTTGAGGAGGAGGCCCATGGAGTCGGGGAGAGAGCCCGTGAATGCGTTGTTGCTTATGTCGCTGCCATGCACGCAGGAAGGCAGGGCCGGGTGAAAGGGTTTTTTTTTTTTTTTTTTTTTTTTTTAAGGTTTAAGGAGAAAGTACGGCGGGAAAAAGGGAGAGGTGGGGGTGGAGGGGTGGAAGTGCTTGATGCTTGAAGATGGGAGGGCGGAACAAAAGGGGCTTGGGGCATCTTTAAAGTTGTCAAGAATCGCTCACACAAACATTTGACAAATCAGAAAGCGGGGTAGGGTGACAATGGGGAAGGGATTGGGATGGGGGGGGGGGGGGGGGAGCGAAGGAAGGGAGGAGGAATGGAGAGTGGAGAGTAGAGAGGCTAGAGCGTATAATTGTAGTAGTATTTTGATCGTGTGAGACTAGGACTGCATTGAATGCGTAAGGATGATGAGGATGGACGAGATGCTTTAAAATTTCTCAGAAGCAGCTGCAGCAGCATTTTGAGGAGACGAGTATGACGTGTGCAGACTGTGCGCCACATGTGCCTGCCACGCATGGTGCATGCATGCATGCATGTGCGGTGTGTGGAGTGTGCGTGGTGCGTGTGTGTGTGGCGTGCGTGCATATGGTGTGTGCGTGGTGTGTGTGTGTGTGGCGTGTGTGAGGTGTGTGGTGCGAGCATACAGGTAGTCGAGGTTGACAAGGTTGCCGATGGAAGCTGGGATGTGTAGAAAGTATATTTTTGGGATGTGTGAGTGTGGTGCGTGTGTCCAGTGCGAGCATACAGGTAGTCGAGGTTGACAAGGTTGCCAATGGAATCTGGAATGGACCCACTGAGCTGGTTGTTCTGCATGTTCCTGCTCCCATGCATGCATGCACACACACATGCACACACACATGCACACACACATGCACACACACATGCACACACACATGCACACACACATGCACACACACATGCACACACACATGCACACACACATGCACACACACATGCACACACACATGCACACACACATGCACACACACATGCACACACACATGCACACACACATGCACACACACATGCACACACACATGCACACACACATGCACACACACATGCACACACACATGCACACACACATGCACACACACATGCACACACACATGCACACACACATGCACACACACATGCACACACACATGCACACACACATGCACACACACATGCACACACACATGCACACACACATGCACACACACATGCACACACACATGCACACACACATGCACACACACATGCACACACACATGCACACACACATGCACACACACATGCACACACACATGCACACACACATGCACACACACATGCACACACACATGCACACACACATGCACACACACATGCACACACACATGCACACACACATGCACACACACATGCACACACACATGCACACACACATGCACACACACATGCACACACACATGCACACACACATGCACACACACATGCACACACACATGCACACACACAGGCATGCACACACACATGCACACACACAGGCATGCACACACACATGCACACACACAGGCATGCACACACACATGCACACACACAGGCATGCACACACACATGCACACACACACACACATGCACACACACATGCACACACACATGCACACACACATGCACACACACATGCACACACACATGCACACACACATGCACACACACATGCACACACACATGCACACACACATGCACACACACATGCACACACACATGCACACACACATGCACACACACATGCACACACACATGCACACACACATGCACACACACATGCACACACACATGCACACACACATGCACACACACATGCACACACACATGCACACACACAGGCATGCACACACACATGCACACACACAGGCATGCACACACACATGCACACACACAGGCATGCACACACACATGCACACACACAGGCATGCACACACACATGCACACACACAGGCATGCACACACACATGCACACACACAGGCATGCACACACACATGCACACACACAGGCATGCACACGCACATGCACACACACAGGCACGCACACACACATGCACACACACAGGCATGCACACACACATGCACACACACAGGCACGCACACATGCACACACACATGCACACACACATGCACACACACATGCACACACACATGCACACACACATGCACACACACATGCACACACACATGCACACACACATGCACACACACATGCACACACACATGCACACACACATGCACACACACAGGCATGCACACACACATGCACACACACAGGCATGCACACACACATGCACACACACAGGCATGCACACACACATGCACACACACAGGCATGCACACACACATGCACACACACAGGCATGCACACACACATGCACACACACAGGCATGCACACACACATGCACACACACAGGCATGCACACACACAGGCATGCACACACACATGCACACACACAGGCATGCACACACACATGCACACACACAGGCACGCACACATGCACACACACATGCACACACACATGCACACACACATGCACACACACATGCACACACACATGCACACACACATGCACACACACATGCACACACACATGCACACACACATGCACACACACATGCACACACACATGCACACACACATGCACACACACATGCACACACACATGCACACACACATGCACACACACATGCACACACACATGCACCCACACATGCACACACACATGCACACACACATGCACACACACATGCACACACACATGCACACACACATGCACACACACATGCACACACACATGCACACACACATGCACACACACATGCACACACACAGGCATGCACACACACATGCACACACACAGGCATGCACACACACATGCACACACACAGGCATGCACACACACATGCACACACACAGGCATGCACACACACATGCACACACACAGGCATGCACACACACATGCACACACACAGGCATGCACACACACATGCACACACACAGGCATGCACACACACATGCACACACACAGGCATGCACACACACATGCACACACACAGGCATGCACACACACATGCACACACACAGGCATGCACACACACATGCACACACACAGGCATGCACACACACATGCACACACACAGGCATGCACACACACATGCACACACACAGGCATGCACACACACATGCACACACACAGGCATGCACACACACATGCACACACACAGGCACGCACACACACATGTACACACACAGGCATGCACACACACATGCACACACACAGGCATGCACACACACATGCACACACACAGGCATGCACACACACATGCACACACACAGGCATGCACACACACATGCACACACACAGGCATGCACACACACATGCACACACACAGGCACGCACACACACATGTACACACACAGGCATGCACACACACATGTACACACACAGGCATGCACACACACATGTACACACACAGGCATGCACACACACATGCACACACACAGGCATGCACACACACATGTACACACACAGGCACGCACACACACATGTACACACACAGGCATGCACACACACGTGTACACACACAGGCACGCACACACACATGTACACACACAGGCATGCACACACACATGTACACACACAGGCACGCACACACACATGTACACACACAGGCATGCACACACACATGTACACACACAGGCATGCACACACACATGTACACACACAGGCATGCACACACACATGTACACACACAGGCATGCACACACACATGTACACACACAGGCATGCACACACACATGCACACACACAGGCATGCACACACACATGTACACACACAGGCACGCACACACACATGTACACACACAGGCATGCACACACACATGTACACACACAGGCATGCACACACACATGTACACACACAGGCATGCACACACACATGTACACACACAGGCATGCACACACACATGTACACACACAGGCATGCACACACACATGTACACACACAGGCATGCACACACACATGTACACACACAGGCATGCACACACAGATGTACACACACAGGCATGCACACACACATGTACACACACAGGCATGCACACACACATGTACACACACAGGCATGCACACACACATGTACACACACAGGCACGCACACACACATGTACACACACAGGCATGCACACACACATGTACACACACAGGCACGCACACACACATGTACACACACAGGCATGCACACACACATGTACACACACAGGCATGCACACACACATGTACACACACAGGCATGCACACACACATGCACACACACATGCACACACACAGGCATGCACACACACATGCACACACACAGGCATGCACACACACATGCACACACACAGGCATGCACACACACATGCACACACACAGGCATGCACACACACATGCACACACACAGGCATGCACACACACATGCACACACACAGGCATGCACACACACATGCACACACACAGGCATGCACACACACATGCACACACACAGGCATGCACACACACATGCACACACACAGGCACATGCACACACACATGCACACACACATGCACACACACATGCACACACACATGCACACACACATGCACACACACATGCACACACACATGCACACACACATGCACACACACATGCACACACACATGCACACACACATGCACACACACAGGCATGCACACACACATGCACACACACAGGCATGCACACACACATGCACACACACAGGCATGCACACACACATGCACACACACAGGCATGCACACACACATGCACACACACAGGCATGCACACACACATGCACACACACAGGCATGCACACACACATGCACACACACAGGCATGCACACACACATGCACACACACAGGCATGCACACACACATGCACACACACAGGCACGCACACACACATGTACACACACAGGCATGCACACACACATGCACACACACAGGCATGCACACACACATGCACACACACAGGCATGCACACACACATGCACACACACAGGCATGCACACACACATGCACACACACAGGCATGCACACACACATGCACACACACAGGCACGCACACACACATGTACACACACAGGCATGCACACACACATGTACACACACAGGCATGCACACACACATGTACACACACAGGCATGCACACACACATGCACACACACAGGCATGCACACACACATGTACACACACAGGCACGCACACACACATGTACACACACAGGCATGCACACACACGTGTACACACACAGGCACGCACACACACATGTACACACACAGGCATGCACACACACATGTACACACACAGGCACGCACACACACATGTACACACACAGGCATGCACACACACATGTACACACACAGGCATGCACACACACATGTACACACACAGGCATGCACACACACATGTACACACACAGGCATGCACACACACATGTACACACACAGGCATGCACACACACATGCACACACACAGGCATGCACACACACATGTACACACACAGGCACGCACACACACATGTACACACACAGGCATGCACACACACATGTACACACACAGGCATGCACACACACATGTACACACACAGGCATGCACACACACATGTACACACACAGGCATGCACACACACATGTACACACACAGGCATGCACACACACATGTACACACACAGGCATGCACACACACATGTACACACACAGGCATGCACACACAGATGTACACACACAGGCATGCACACACACATGTACACACACAGGCATGCACACACACATGTACACACACAGGCATGCACACACACATGTACACACACAGGCACGCACACACACATGTACACACACAGGCATGCACACACACATGTACACACACAGGCACGCACACACACATGTACACACACAGGCATGCACACACACATGTACACACACAGGCATGCACACACACATGTACACACACAGGCATGCACACACACATGTACACACACAGGCATGCACACACACATGTACACACACAGGCATGCACACACACATGTACACACACAGGCATGCACACACACATGTACACACACAGGCATGCACACACACATGTACACACACAGGCATGCACACACACATGTACACACACAGGCATGCACACACACGTGTACACACACAGGCACGCACACACACATGTACACACACAGGCATGCACACACACATGTACACACACAGGCATGCACACACACATGTACACACACAGGCATGCACACACACATGTACACACACAGGCACGCACACACACATGTACACACACAGGCATGCACACACACATGTACACACACAGGCACGCACACACACATGTACACACACAGGCATGCACACACACATGTACACACACAGGCATGCACACACACATGTACACACACAGGCATGCACACACACATGTACACACACAGGCATGCACACACACATGTACACACACAGGCATGCACACAACACATGTACACACACAGGCATGCACACACACATGTACACACACAGGCATGCACACACACATGTACACACACAGGCATGCACACACACATGTACACACACAGGCATGCACACACACATGTACACACACAGGCATGCACACACACATGTACACACACAGGCATGCACACACACATGTACACACACAGGCATGCACACACACATGTACACACACAGGCATGCACACACACATGTACACACACAGGCATGCACACACACATGTACACACACAGGCATGCACACACACATGTACACACACAGGCATGCACACACACATGTACACACACAGGCATGCACACACACATGTACACACACAGGCACGCACACACACATGTACACACACAGGCACGCACACACACATGTACACACACAGGCACTGCACACACACATGTACACACACAGGCACTGCACACACACATGTACACACACAGGCATGCACACACACATGTACACACACAGGCATGCACACACACATGTACACACACAGGCATGCACACACACATGTACACACACAGGCATGCACACACACATGTACACACACAGGCATGCACACACACATGTACACACACAGGCATGCACACACACATGTACACACACAGGCATGCACACACACATGTACACACACAGGCATGCACACACACATGTACACACACAGGCATGCACACACACATGTACACACACAGGCATGCACACACACATGTACACACACAGGCACGCACACACACATGTACACACACAGGCACGCACACACACATGTACACACACAGGCATGCACACACACATGTACACACACAGGCACGCACACACACATGTACACACACAGGCACGCACACACACATGTACACACACAGGCATGCACACACACATGTACACACACAGGCATGCACACACACATGTACACACACAGGCATGCACACACACATGTACACACACAGGCATGCACACACACATGTACACACACAGGCATGCACACACACATGTACACACACAGGCATGCACACACACATGTACACACACAGGCATGCACACACACATGTACACACACAGGCATGCACACACACATGTACACACACAGGCATGCACACACACATGTACACACACAGGCATGCACACACACATGTACACACACAGGCATGCACACACACATGTACACACACAGGCATGCACACACACATGTACACACACAGGCATGCACACACACATGTACACACACAGGCATGCACACACACATGTACACACACAGGCATGCACACACACATGTACACACACAGGCATGCACACACACATGTACACACACAGGCATGCACACACACATGTACACACACAGGCATGCACACACACATGTACACACACAGGCATGCACACACACATGTACACACACAGGCATGCACACACACATGTACACACACAGGCATGCACACACACATGTACACACACAGGCATGCACACACACATGTACACACACAGGCAATGCACACACACATGTACACACACAGGCATGCACACACACATGTACACACACAGGCATGCACACACACATGTACACACACAGGCATGCACACACACATGTACACACACAGGCATGCACACACACATGTACACACACAGGCATGCACACACACATGTACACACACAGGCATGCACACACACATGTACACACACAGGCATGCACACACACATGTACACACACAGGCATGCACACACACATGTACACACACAGGCATGCACACACACATGTACACACACAGGCATGCACACACACATGTACACACACAGGCATGCACACACACATGTACACACACAGGCATGCACACACATATGTACACACACAGGCATGCACACACACATGTATACACACAGGCATGCACACACATATGCAGACACACAGGCATGCACACACATATGCAGACACACAGGCATGCACACACACATGTACACACACAGGCATGCACACACATATGCAGACACACATGCGGACACACATGCAGGAACACATGCAGGCGCACATGCAGGCACACATGCAGACACACACAGGGACGCAGATTAGAATGGTGACAAATGGCTGGAGGGGGAAATCAACGTGAAGAAGCGGAAGAGAAGACAAACAAGGCCTTTGAGAGAAAGGAGGGGAAGGGAGGGGAGCGAGGGAATGGCTGCAGAGACAGAGCAGGAAGCAGACATGAGAGGGAGTGAGGGAGAGAGGGAGGGAGTGAGGGAGAGAGGGAGTGAGGGCAACGGGGGAAGTCTCACATGTATTCCATCATCACGAGGCTTCCAATGGCCGAGGGGAGGGGGCCAGAGAGGCTGTTGCGGAAAATGTTGCTGCTCTCAGGAAGAAAAAAGGGTGAAAATGAACGAAAAGGAAGGGGAGGGAGGCGAGGTGAAACGGGGGAGGCAAGTGTGTGTGTATGAGGAGGGAAGAGGAGGTGGAGGAGGAGCGCAGTGTGTGCTGTGCAAGTGGAGGAAGCAGCTGAGTGGGGGAGCAGTGCAGTGGGGGGACAGGGGAGCAGTGGTGCTGCTGCGCTTATGAGAATTCTGAACAGCGGAGGAGCTCACAGGTCCTTGAGCTTGGTGAGTGTGCTGATGGCATCGGGGAGAGAGCCGACGAATTGGTTGTCGTACAGCGACCTGGTGCAGGGGGGGGAGAGAGGGTGGTGAGTGAGGTGAGGTGAGGTGAGTTTTGAGGTGCCTCAAACGACGACTTTTGAGGCGCTGCTGATGGCGTCCGGCACAGGCCCGACAAATTGGTTGTCGTACAGCAACATGGTGAGGTGGGAGAGGGGCGTGTGTGAGGTGGTGACGCATATGTGCATGCCATGTTGCATGTACTGTGCATGTCTTGTACCTGCAACGTAAAAATGCTTTCGTCGCATGATTTCTGTTCTGTTGAACAGAATCCCCTCAGTCCCACATGCAGCATGTACTGTACATACATGAGGCTGCACGGTTCGTTCGTACGGCACGTGATAGGAGCACACGCCCACATGACATGGCGTATGGCAATGGCATGGGGGGCGGCATAACAGGGTATGGCATGGCATGGCACGGCGTGACAAGGTATGACGGCAGCGCATGGTGGTTCATGGTAGTGTGGCGAGGCTTGTTGATTGAGGACACGTACAGGTCCCTGAGGTTGGAAAGCGAGAAGATGGATGGGGGGAATGGGCCTGTGAAGTTGTTGTCTCCCAAATCGCTGCAGCACGGTGCAGAGGAGGAGAGAGAGCAGAGGATGGGGACACAGGGAGCACAGGGGGAACACATGCTGGGTAGGTGATGGGTGGTGGTTGCGTGGGAGGTTTTACGGGGAGGAATGGTGGAAGCAGGGAGGTGCAGAGGAGGGGTAGCGTGGAGGGTTGGTGGCGTGGAGGGTTGGTGGCGCGTAAAGGCGTGGCGGGCATACAGGAAGCGAAGGTTGGTGAGGGTGGAGATGGCGTCAGGTACTGTGCCAGCAAAGGCGTTGCAACACAGCTCCCTGCAACACACAAGTGAGAATGAAGCACGGTGAAGGACAGCTTGAGAGCACGGCACAAGACAGCTTGAGAGAATGTGTGGGCGAGAGAGGGGAGCGGGGCAAGGGGAGGAGGGAGGGGTGAGCTGATTTGATCCAGGAGAGATGGACGAGACGAGCGAGGAGAGAGTGATGGGCGGCAGTGCGGATGATGATGTGTGGGGGGCGTGCAGATGGCGCACGAGGGGAGGGGAGATGTAAGGCGGATATAAACTGGTGGTATGCGGATGGATGGTGCGTGGGGTGGGGGAGAGCGGTTACAGGATCGAAGCACTGGTGAGGTTGCTGATGGTGGTGGGCAGCGAGCCGGACAGGCTGTTGAACGACACATCGCTGGTGGGGCGCACGGGGTGGGACGGGATGGGATGGGATGGGATGGGATGGGATGGGATGGGATGGGATGGGATGGGATGGGATGGGATGGGATGGGATGGGATGGGATGGGAGGGGATGGGATGGGATGGGATGGGATGGGATGGAAATGCATGAGAGGAGGCGCGTTGATGGATATACAAGCTGGCAAGGTTTAAGAGGTCTTCAGGAACAAACATGGGGCCGTGCATGGCGGAGAGCAGTAGGGGGAGAGAGGGGAAAGGGGGAGGGGGGAGGAGGGGAGGAGGGGAGGGAGGGAGGGAGGCAGTGGATGAGAACAGGATTTGCAGATAGGGAAGGGAAGGGCAGAAAGGGAAGGGCGGAAAGGGAAGGGCGGAAAGGGAAGGGCGGAAATGGAAGGGCGGAAAGGAAATGGGAGAAAGGGAAGGGCGGAAAGGCAGTGCGGTGGAGTACAGTTCAGTGAGGTGGAAGAAGCTCCCGATGGTGGCTGGCAGCGAGCCGGTGAGGTTGTTGTGGAGTAGGCGCCTGGGGGGAGGAGAGCAGCAGGGGGGGAGGAGAGCAGCAGGGGGGGAGGAGAGCAGCAGGGGGGGAGGAGAGCAGCAGGGGGGGCGAAGTGAGAGAGGGGGTGGGTGAGGAGAGGGGAAGATAGCAGACGGGGAGGAGACATGCAGGCGGGGAGAGAGACGAGAGGACTAGGGGGTATGGTATGAATGAGCCGTGATGGCTGGTTGGCGCTGGTCAAGTGTGAGTTGTCATGCGTTGGTCCTGTGTGCGATGGTTGACAGGACAGGATCAGGATGCTGTCGACAAGCTTGGAGTGGGACGCCTGTGCATCGCACTCGCACTCGCATCTGTGCCGTTTTACTGTATGGCTGTATGGCTGTATGGCTGTATTGCTGTAGAGTGAATCAATCGGGGAGTGGGTGTTGAAGGGGGGAATTGCAGAGGGGGTGTGGAGTGGGGGGAAGACGTGGAGTGTGGGTGGGGAGACGTGGAGTGTGGGGGAGGAGGTGTGGAGTGAGGGGGAATGTGCACTGGGGGCGTGAAGCGCGGGGGGGAGGGACTGACAGGGATTGGAGGGTGGGATGGACGGCAGCCGGCAGCTCCCCCGATAGCAGGTTGTATGCCAGATTGCTGCACGTTAGGGGGGTTGTGGAGTGGAGTGAGGGGGGTTTTAGGCGCCTCAAAAGCCGGCACCTCCCACGATAGCAAGGTGTACGCCAGATTGCTGCACGTATGAGGGGCATGTGGAGTGGAGTGGGGGTTGTTGCACGTTGGGATCGGAAAAGCGGTGGAAAAGAGTGCGAGGGGCGGGCAGGTGGGGAGTGGTGAAGAGAGAGCAGTGGGGCGGCACATAGACAGTGCCGCGGCGGGGTACGTACGTCCGTGGGATCATCTGGGTTGACCTGAAATGGAAGTGCCTTTGTGGTTATGCACGGCAGCACGGTTCTGTGTGGTTATGCGCGGTGCATGGCTCTGTGCATGGTTGCTCCGTGGTGATGCGCGGTACAAAGAAGAGGCAGAGCAGAGGCCGTCCCAGCCCCCATCATCAGCTAAACAGAAACTGAGCCATATATTCGAGATTTCTCAAAAGGGGCAGCGGCGCCGAGCTGGGAGCGAGCGTACAGATAGGAGAGACTGGTGAGGGTGGTGCAGGGGGGCACGGGGCCCATGAGGAAGTTGGACCCCAGGCTCCTGTGATGCGCGCATGCATTGGGGGAAGGGTAAAGGGGATGGGGGAAAGGAGATGGGGGAAAGGGGATGGGGGATAAGACTTTTGAGACGTCTCAAAAGTTGGACCCTAGGCTCCTGTGCCGCGCGCATGCATTGGGGGAGGGGGAAAGGGGATGGGGGATAAGGGCAAACAGGGAAGTTGGAGGCAAAGAGGGAGGTGGGAGGAGGGGAGGAGGAGGAGGAGGAGGAGGAGGAGGAGGAGGAGGAGGAGGAGGAGGAGGAGGAGGAGGAGGAGGAGGAGGAGGAGGAGGAGGAGGAGGGTGGGGAGGAGGAGATGGAAACGAGCATGCTGAGGAGGTGAACAAACACGATTAGTGTCGTCTAATACACTATTAACTTGTGTGTGCTAGCATGAATCAAATTCGCGTATGTACGTGGTGTGGTATGGCATGGACTGGCGTGGCATGGCATGGCGCATTGCATGGCATGGCATGGCATGGCGCATTGCATGGCATGGCATGGCATGGCATGGCGCATGGCATTGCATGGTATGGCATGGCGGGCCATGGCACGGCGCATGGCGTGGCACACCACGGCTTGGAACAGCATGGCATGGCATGGCGTGGCGTGGCGTGGCATGGAACGGCGACTGACATACATCCACTGCAGCTTGGCGAGCGCGGTGACAGTGGACGGAATGAGCCCCGTGAGGTTGTTGGCCGACAGGTCGCTGCTCCACTCCGCCCCGCGCCGAGCCCATGAGAAAGATGCACACGCGCCAGGGGGGAAAAGCGAGGAGAAGGGGGGGAAGGGGCGTGGGAAGGCGGGAGAAGGGGGAAGGGGGCGAGAGGGAGAGTCACGAGGGGAATGCGAATGGTTAAGCGGGGGGGAGGAGTGGGAGGGTGAAACAGGCGAGCGTAGTAGAACAGGAGAACTTGAGTGCGATTGCGAGCTGAAAACGGTAGCCCCAAGCAACCATGGGACTGGAATTGAATCACACACTGAGGTTGCGCGAGAGCAGCGCATCAAGTATCAACGTGCATGCATCTGCAAGCGTGGGACATCTAAAAAATCAGACTCAACGTGCATGCATGCGTGGGACAGAAGTCGCGGGAGCAGAGACGCGGAGTGTGTGCGGAGGAGAGTGCACGCGCAAGAGTGGCGCAAGGGTGGCGCACGGGTGGCGCAAGGGTGGCGCACGGCGCTCGCTCACAGTGTGGTAAGCGCGTTCAATCCGCTGATGCTCAACGGAATGCTCCCGCTCAGCCCCGCGTACGGCATGTTCCTGCCACACCAGCACACACACACGCACACAGATGACATGACATGAGATGACATGACAGGACATGACATGACATGGCATGACTTCTTGGAAGATCGTAGCTCGCCAATGCAGGGCGAGGAGGATGACCAGAGTGTCGATGATATGATGGGGAATGGGGGCGGGAATGACAAGAATTGTTGAACTTTGCTGATGCTGCCGTGCTGCGCTCTTCGCGCTGCTGCCAGCATGCAGGTGCAGCAACGAAGGATAAGGGCGCTTCAGACAACTTATAGGTACACAAGAATAGTACATTGCAACAGAAAAAGCAGCGGAGGGGGAGGGCGAGCGCAAGGCGGAGGGGGGAGGGAGGAGGGTGGAGGGGAGATGGCGGAGGGCGGAAGGCGGAAGGCGGAGGGCGGAGGGTCCCGAAGCAGTGCAGCGGGGCTCACATGGAGGTGACCATGCCCTCAAGTACCAACTAGTCTCACATGGAGGTGACCATGCCCTGCGCGTTGCACGTCAGCCGCGCCGCTTTCGCGCAATCCGATCCCGCCGACCATCCGGGGAACGTCTGCCCCCACGCCTTCTGGCAATCCTGAAGCACAGCGCCTGTAGCGCGAATTACGCCGTGAAACGCAGAGAATGCCAGTGCGTGGTGGGACAGACACCGAAGAAACAAAAAGGAAACGCGTAGAGAGGAGATTGAGGCTTTGGTGTGGAGCGTTTGGAAAGGGGGGAGAGTGAGAGGAAGGGCCGTGTGCGCACGTGAGACGTAGGGAGCGCGAGGTGACAGGAGACGCGGGCAGGGGATTGAGCGGAGAGTACAAGCGGGAGGGCAAGAGGAGGGTTGCCTCCAATGAAACAATGTCCCTTTATGAAGCAAGGAGAGGGGCGGCACTACAGCGCAAAAGTACGTGTCGCATCGTGACTTCATGAAACAATGCAAGGATGCACTTTCTTCTTAGTGTGCGACGGTGATATAATACTGGAGAGAGGCGATGAGATGATGACGTGCCGACCTTGGGAATCGGCGATGGGTACTGCCACGGCGAGCAGAACGCAGTGCAGTAGCGCTAAGGCGCGCGCAAGCGCCGCCGCACGCGCTGCCGGCGCGTGTCCCCGCCGCGCCATGATGTGTGCGGAGTTGAGCGGGATACGGAGGACGCGGAGAAGCGGTGGAGGAGCGCGACTGGGGGAGAAGAAGCAAGTAGGTGGTGACGCGTGTCGGTGGTGTTTGAGCTAAATCAAGAAATCATAAGGCTAGCAATGTGCGCATGTGGGCTGTGGTGCGCGTTGCAAGAATGGTAAAAAAATGCAATGTTCAAAAATAGCACTTCATGCGGGATATGGTCCAGGCTGCCAGTTTGTATGGAAAGTGGTGGCGGGGTGACGTGAGTTCGTGACGAGGATGTTGGGTGGACAACGAACCAATGGCAGGGGAGGCCAGCACGATCAGTCAACATTCACGCCTTTGTACAGCGGGTATTGGCTTTGGTATGTTTTTCGTTAAATGATGGCTCTAGCGTACTTACCCTCGACGGTTGATTACAAGGTTTCCGATTTAAAAAGGGAAATTCGATCTCCCTGTCCCTACAGATTGAAGCCGGAGCCTCGTCCCAGCAGACAGTGGCAAAACCAAAGCCCTACTGAGGAGGAACCTCGTGTTGAAATTTCGGCACAACAGGTTCGAAAATCACGGTACAGGCTCTTGTGTCTTGCTCGTTTCCAGTTTACTGTAGTTCAGACGTGTCACGTGTGCTGTCCAAAATGGAGGTGCCCCTTTTGCAGTGTCGGTGGCAATTCCAGGTGGGAATGCGGCAGATACAGGTTCGAACGTGTAACTAGCAGACTTCATAATTAGGTTGCTGCTTACAATCAAGCTCCTCATTCACATCACATTCAGAACCAGTTTTTGACATCATGTTGTAAAATCAAAGTGTAGACCACCATTTATACAACTGCATGGAGACACGAAATAAATTTAGCAATCAAGCAATGACCGAAGTGATGTAGAGCACACCCAGTGAGTCAGACTTGACAACACACCAAGAGGATATAAATTTACACGTGACTAGGAGTGAGAAACACACCACGAACAAATGTACCTCTAACCTTAGCATTGAGAATGTACAGGAGAAAGAGGACGCAGGCAGGCAGAGAAAAGGAACACAAACATTCAGACCCAAACGGACTATAGATTACCCAAAAGTACAATTGCTGAAACAACCTTGAACTATGTCCAAGGATGGGGCGATCATCCAAGCCATCTTCAAGTCCAGTATCACTGTTATAACACAAGCGATTTATTACTCGCCACCACCTTTCTCCTTCCACACCTGCTCCTTTCTCCCCCCTCGCTTCCTCCTAGAGTTGTTTGCAGCACCACCAGCACCAGCACCTTCTGCATTCCCCACAGCCCCTTGCCCACCCTGGTACCCATTCTGCTGCTGTCCCTGCACACCCCCTCCTCGCCCACCCTGCACACCTCCCTGTGCAGCACCATACCCATACCCCTGCGCACCCCCACCACGACCATGCCACCCAGCATGCTGCTTCCACCCTCCTCGCCCTGCCCCATACCTCTCCTGCCCTCCCTGTCCACCCTGCGCTCCTCTTTGTCCCTGTGCCCCTCCCTGTCCGCCCTGTGTCACCCCCTGCACACCTTGCATGCCGCCCTGCGCCCCTCCCACCCCAGTTTGCCCTTGATCTCCCCACGACCACATGGCCTGGCTGGGTGGTGGCGGGGGCTGCTCTCTGCGCTCTGACTCGGTGTCCGCCCATGCCTCGTCCCCATGGTACCCTGCCCCGTTCCCCCCTCCTCTCTGTGCTCCTCCTCCTCTCCCCTTCCTTGGTCTCCGCCTGCCCCGCCGCCCACCATCCATGCCCTCTTGCATCCCTGCCTCACCATTCGCTGCCGCTGCTGCTGGTGCCAGTGGTGGTGCTGCGGGTGCTGCAGCTGCAGCAGCTGCTGCTGCTGGTGGTGCTGCGGGTGCTGCTGCAGATGGTGCGGCTGGCCGCACTACTGTCGCCTCTCTACTGCCTGCAACGTGCCCCGCTTCCATTGTAACTTTAGTCACGGCAGCATACGCTGCTGCAACAGACTCAGAAGAAACAGCCCCACTTCCTTCTCTCCCTCCCTTACGACCCCCCCTTTCCCCACGACCCCTAGTAGCTGCTGCCCCTACCCTACCACCCCCCCTTGCCGAACCTGCACTATACACAGGCGCATCAGGAGCGGCAGCAGCGGCAGGAGCAGGAGCAGGAGCAGGAGCAGGAGCAGGAGCAGGAGCAGGAGCAGGAGCAGGAGCAGGAGCAGGGGTAGGGGCAGGAACAGGGGCAGGGGCAGGAGCAGGAGAAAGAGCAGCAGCAGAAGCAGCAACAGCACTCGCAACAGCCGTAGGAGGAGTAGGGGTAGGGGCGGGGGTAGGAGCAGCGGGAGGAGCAGGGACAGGGACAGGAGCAGCAGCAGGAGCAAGTTGAGACACTGGAACTTGTGAGGTGTTATTGACAGCAGGTGTTATTGACAACAGCGAATGACCTCCCAAACCTCCCTTCTTCAGACCTTCGCTGTGCAACGGCATCTTCTGCTCCTCCTTCTCTGCCTGCTTCTCAACTCCCCTCTTCCCATCAGCTTCCTCCTCCTGTTTCCTCCCTTGCACATGCACCTCCTCTCTCCTCCCATCCTCGTGCTTCAGAGACACCTCGCTTAACCGCCCAGTGATGGTTTCAGCAGCCGATACAGTCGTTACATGCCCATCCGCTGCTGCTACACGCTCGCCTTTCAGGCCTACCGTTGTTGCTGGTGCCTTGCCTCGGTCGATCAACACGCCATGGCTCCTGTCCCCAGCCACACTCCACGACACCCCTCCTGTCACGTTCCCCGCCGCAACTTCCCCTGCTGCACCGCCCCCTCCCCTTGCATCCGACGCCGCTACTCCCGCCGCACCCACATGGCCAGAACTGGTGCTGCTGCTTCCACCGCCACCGCCGCCGCCGCCGCCAGCAGCAGCAGCACCAGCTGGAGCAGCAGGAGGAGGGATAGGACCAGCAGCAGCAGCTGCAGAGAAGTCACTTCTCAGGCCACCGAAGCCCAAGGGGTGTGGGGGACCAAGAGTGGGGCGGGCGAGGCTGAGCACTTCTGCCAGCCCAGGGCCAAGCGGAGCAAGACCCATATGGGGATTCAAATGCGAGGCCGCAAGCCCTAGAGGGTACCCTGACGGTCCAAACCGCATGCCTGGGAATGCTGGGTTGTGAAGCTGGTATGGAGATAGGTATGGGCTGACGGCACGAGGGGCAGTGGCTGAGAGAAGAGGGGATTGGGGATTGCCGGGGAGGTTGAGAGTGGTGGGAGCAGCTGGAGCGGAGGATTGGAGAGGAGGGTACGCGTGGTGGGGTTGGGGTCTGTGAGGTGTGGACAGGAGGGAGGGGACGGATGTGGAAGGGTTGGAAGATGCCTGTGCTGCTGCTTGCTCTCCGCCTAAACGCGACTGCTGCTGCTGCTGTTGTTGTTGCTGTTGCTGCTGTTGCTGCTGCTGTTCCTGCTGCTGTTTCTGCCTATCCTGCGCAATTTCTTCCCCTGCCTTCTCCCCTGTGCCCTTCTTCTTCCCCTCCTTCACTTTTGCTGCTTCCAAACCACTCTGCTTTGCCCCACCACCGGCAACAGGAACGAGCTCAGCAGCAGCAACAGCAGCCAGTCCCCTCCCTCCCCGGCTATCCCGCCCAACAGGCCCCCCAATCATCCCCGGAGCAGACGCAGCAGCAGCAACCGCAGCAGCAGAAGCAGCCGCACCAGCAGCCGCAGCAGCTTGGTGCAAACCCCTCCCCCTCCCCACACTCACCACTCCGCGCCCAAATGCGCCCCCTCTCACCCAATCCTCCCCTGGACTCCTCCCAACGCCCCCGCCCCCCCCTCCGCCTCCCCCTACTTTCGGCCCCATCCGGCCCTGGTTCCCCCGGTTGAAGCGCACAGGCATGGTGTCAACCGGGTGGGAGGTGGTGAAGGAGGGGCGTGCCTGGTTGGAGGGCCATTTGAAGAGCGCCACGCGCAGCTGGCGGAGGGAGTGCGCGGGCGGGAGGGGGGAGAAGGCGCGTGCTGCGGCTGCAAAGGCGTCGCAGACGCTTGGGAAGGAGTGCGGCTGCACGGAGCGTGCGCAGTTCTCCCGCGGGTCAAACGGATCCTCCACCTGGTGTGAGGAGGAGTGGAGTGGGGTGGAATGCGATGGGGCGGGGTGGAGTGAATTAGAGTGACGAGTGGTGAAACAAGATGCAGTAACGCAAGTGGTTGATGGGGATGGTAAGCTTGATGGGGATGAGCTGATCAGACTGGACCCCATCCACGCGCGCCAGTCACCAGTGCAGCAGCAGCACTCACGATCATGAAGTAGCTGCGTTGGGCGAAGGAGGAGTGCGTGACTGTGAGGTCGCCCCACTGTGCCGTCAGCGGCCGCACCGCCAGGCCCTGCGCCCACTGCTCGCGCACTGCATCGTACTGCCATGGGACAACGGGATTTGGGCCAAGGCGTGAGGTGCATTCTTATTCTTCTACATCTCTTCAACAGACGGAACAAGGCCTGCAGTCGCTGGGTGGTTTGCCACGCGAACAGCTGACGTGGAAAGCAAGAAAAAATAAATAAATAAAAAAAGCAGAGCAGAGCACAGACCTTGGCAAAGAAAGACGCGAGCAGCACGGCGACACAGCTGGTGTTCTTCCCCGCCCCGCCCCATTCCACTGGCTCGCCGTTGTCCCGCGCTGCTATCATGCTCTCCACCCGCTCCTCACACTCCGCTATGCGCTGATGCCTCACCGCCTTCTGCTCCATTCCCTCCACTGCCATGCCACACATGCACGCACATGCACACACATGCACACAACACATGCGGGCATGCACACCGCACGGCCCATGCAGACAGGCGCACATGCACCCAAAGAGATGAGTGGAGGGGACGAGAAGTATTATTTCGAAGGTGCTTAAGAAGCAGCCAGCCTCCTGATCTGTACTCGCCACACTGCACGCGCACACAAGGCGGTGACGGGGGTCACGAAAAACGGGGGGAGTTCAAGGCAAGAAGAAAGCAAGAACAGGGGGGAGAAGGTGGCAGGAGCGAGAGGGCATGTTCGGCGCTGATAAAGGCATGGAATACTATATACGTGCTATGGCTGGAAGCCTCAGCCACGAAAGGGAACACATGAATACACTATAAACGCTGCAGGGTAGGGTAGGGTAGGGTAGGGTAGGGTAGGGTAGGGTAGGGTAGGGTAGGGTAGGGTAGGGTAGGGTAGGGTAGGGTAGGGTAGGGTGGGGTGGGGTAGGGTAGGGTGGGGTGGGGTAGCAGGCACGCACGTCGTCCGAGGATGTGGCGGACGGGCGGGAGGATGGGCGGTTGCACGGTCTGCAGGTGGAAGATGACGAGCAGCGCGAGCGCAAAGGAGTTGAGCGAGCCGCCCTTGGGGTCGTTGATGCCCTGCGCCTTCGCCCACGCCTTCACCTGCACGCCACGCCATGCCACCATGCCACGGCAGAGAGATGAGGGGATGGGGGATGGGGGGACGTGGGGGGGATGAGGAGATGGGGATGAGGGTAAGTTGGTGAAGGGGAAAGGGGAGGAGAAAGGACGAGGAAAGGGGACAGGGGAGCAGAAGGGACGGGCGGGATGCGAGAGGCAGGGAAGGGCGAAAGGAAGGAGAGGTCGGGTTGGGTTCGCATGAATGACGTGTGAAACTTGGCAAGACAAGAAAGGAGGGAACGGTACTTGAGAGGAAAGCTGCGGGAAGATTTAAGGGAGGTTTTTGGAAAAGTGCAAAGTTGTAAGATGAAGAAAGACCAGGGGCTGAGGCGTAAAAATACTTCAGGGTGCACAAGAAGGGGGTAGGGGGGCTGGAGGGGGAGGGGAGGGGCGAGGGGAGATACGAACCGCAAGGAAATTCAAGGGAGGTTTTAGGAAAAGATGCTCGAGAGGCAACGCGGAGCGAGTGAGAGGCACGCCGCGCAGCGCAGCGCAGCGCAGCGTGGTGGCGGACGGCAGCGCTTACGAGGAAGAGCAGCGGGCGGCAGCGCGCGTCGAAGCGGAGCAGCGAGCGCAGCACGGTGGACTTGAAGACGCCCGTGCCGTTGCCCACGGACAGGTCGCACGCTATGCCCGTCGCCGCGTCCGTGAACATCACCAGCGGCACCCGCGCGTGCGCCACTATCTGCACTCCCCGCGCCATGCCTGCGCGCGCGTGCGCCAGCGTGGCCGCGGAGGAGGGCGGACGAGCGGGGAGGAGAGCGGAGGAGCGGAGAGGGGCAAGGAAACAGGATGAGACCCCCGGGGATAGGGAAGGGAGCAGCCATGAGCACGTGCGTGCATTACAGTGAAGAGCGGGAGGGTGAGAGATGTGGAAAAGCACCAGAGGGAGGAGGAAGATGGAAGGAGGCAAAGGTTGCGTGTTTGTGTGTGTGTGGAAGGGGGAAGTTTGTGTGGGGGTGCGTGGGTGTGTGGTGAGTGAGAGAGAAAGAGAGAGCGAGAGCGAGGGCGAGAGAGAGAGGGAGCAGAGACGACCGCATACCTGTGTGCAGCAGGCGGTAGTGAATGGCATGCAGTATGTTGACTCCCTGGCGGCGCAGCCCGTTGCCGCCCGTGCTGCGCACCTCGCCCTCCAGCGACAAGTCCAGGTCGCCCCACGGCGAGAACAGGTCCGACGCGAACGACCCGAACGGCACCACCTCCATGCCTGCTCGCGGGCAGCGCGCACGGGCGCGCGGATGCGCGGACGCGCAGCGAGCGGAGGGCGCAGGGGAGAGGGGTGTGGAAGCGGGGAGGGGACGGGGGACAGGGGAAAGGGGAGAGGAGAGGGGAGACGGGAGAGGCGAGGCAAGAGTGGAGAGGGGAGAGGAGAGAAGGGAGAAGGGAGAGGGGAGAGGAAAGAGGGGATGCTCCGTGAAGCGTGACCAACGTTTTGTCATGTTCCACTAGAAACGAGTCGTTTAAACCCACGCTCGTCTGTTCTTGTTTAGTTCCTTTCATCTCGTCAGCCACCACATGTTTTCGTAGCAAACGCTGTCGTTACCTCTGCTTCTACATCTGCCTCTGCCTCTGCCTCTGCCTCACTCCTTACTTGTGCCTCCGTCCAACCCGGGGGAGTGGTATGGCATGGCATCGCACCTTTGCAGGCGGGCACGGAGGCGACGAGCATGTTGATGCGCTCCACGAGCTCCAGGCGCACGTTGTAGTCGGGATCGCGCGGACACATGCGCTCGTACAGCCCGCGCAGCAGCGCCTCCAACCCCACCTCGTTCTCGCGCTCTGACGGATTCGACACCAAGGAAAGAAGAGAACGAAAAAGAGAAAGAAGAAGACGAAGAAGAAGAAGAAGAAAAAGTCCGTCCAGGGTTAGGGTTCCCGGACAGGGTTTTCATGAAAGGGTTTACGTCGGCAGTTCGCGGAACCATACCGCTAAGAGCAAGAGCCGACTCGGAACCGAGTAAACCCAGGGCGGGTAAGAGACTGAGAATGGTCACAATAAGATCATCGGTTGTGTTGCTAGGGTGCGTGGACGTACCATTGTCTGGCCCTCTCGCGGTGCTGTCGCCCATGAGCCCTTGCGTGACACTCGGCGCTGTGGAAGCGACGGCCGCGGCACTCCCGGCCATGGGTGAAATTCCTTGATGGAGCACCGCGAAATGGGTTCGCTATCGTAACGGGTAGTAGAAAGTTCAGCGCTGTGCGACAGAATGTCGCGACGAGTGGCGAATCCACTAGTAACTTCCGAGTACGCGACGGATAAACCACGTGTCGCCGAGACCGCTGCGCTGTGGGGTTGTCTACTGTGTTCTGCTTGTTTCCTCGAGAATTAGCTTAGATGCGGCTCGCAATGCTGACTTTGACGCTACTTATTAGTCTCCATGGTATTATCACGACATCCCGCTCGGCGTAAAGACATATTGAAGGTGACTAGCGTATGGTAGTACAGAGAGGTGTGGCTGGGAAAGACCACGAATAATGACTAACGCGACAATGGCTATTGAGGCATAGCACGCAGCTTACTAACTAGTAATAGCTGGACAGCAATAACCAAACATGTTTGGTAGACAGACCACAACAACCAAACCGGGCGTCTCGACCTGTCTATGTCAGACTACGAAAGATTCCATTGCAACTTCCATTGCAGCATCTCCATGTACCTCACCTTGGCAACTATGTAATCCGCGCGCTTTGAATCACAAGGCGGGAAGAGACAACTCCAAGGGGTTGGGAGGGAAGGAAAGGGTCGAGAGTTGGGAGGGAGAGAGAGAGGATTGGTGACGTCAGCAAATAGGTGGGTGGGGAAAATGCTCCAACTCTGAGGCAAAACGGCCTCCAACGCGGCAGGCGAAGATTTGTTGATGTTGGCGGTGTCAGATTGAGAAGGTTCTACATCATGGATTTGCCCTTCTCTAGTGTCACAAGTCTCAACGGTTTGCTTAGAATGGGTACATGGTCAGTCACTAACTTTTTGACAAGAAAGCAATTGGGTAGCGAGAACCTACGGAATAGTGAAATTCCAAACGCAGACAAAGAGCCAAATGATAAGACTTCCCTGCTGCTGTTACATTTTCCAATTGCTACCACTTCTTCCCCTTACACATCCAAGAGCATGAAATGGGAATGAAAGGCAGCCACTTATAGGCAGCTGATGAAACAAGGACACAAACTAATCAGGATAAGCCATCACAGGCACCGCATTGCTCCTCTAATCACCCTTCCGGCGGAAAGAGCAGCCCTCAGTAAGCCGAGCCTTGCCACCAGTGGGCTGGCAAAGGACCGTGGAGCAGGAGCCACATAGGACAACGGTCTGAGAGTGACTGAACACCGTGGTGCTGCAAACAGCCAATAAGAACATCCTCGAGAGAGTGGTATTAGAACAAATAATAATGGAAGCCATACTACGAAAATCGATGGCAGGTATTTTCGGTGCAAAAACTTACATGTTAAAACAGCCCTGGCATTTGACATCCTGCAAAAATGCATAAAGAGTGGAACAAACCATCGGACAGATCAACCGTGAGTAAAAATGAGACATACACACGGCAATGGACCAAATCCAGCATCAAACAAGCGAGGGAAAAAAAGAGGTGTCGGGAAGCGAGATCGGGGAGGAACGGGAAGGGAAAGGTTGAAAGACGCTGGGCTAACACTGGGAGGGAGGAAAATGATCGAACACTAAACAGACGGGGCAGAGGGGATGTAAGAACGCTATGTAAGACGGCCCAGTCGATAACCTACCAACGAAATGAACGGAAAACAAACATGCTGATAACCTAACCTAATTCGCCATGCCTACAAAGCCGAACGACAAGGTTCCTTGATCTGGGGTAACAGCAATTTATCGTGCCTACGAAACGATAGGAAAAGCGGCACAGCTGTTGAACAAGGTCCCTTGGCGTATAATTGGGACGCCAAAGATCCGATTTCAGAAAAGAGCAAACCACAAGGACAGCTACAGCAACACTGAGTCGCCAGTATGCGAGCTCACCATGAAGAAGCTGTTCGGTGTGGGTACAAGGCGCTTCATCTTGTGCTTGCGCTTCTCCAGCTCCGCTGGCGGGTGCAGCAGATCAATGTCGTTAGAGAGAACCTGAACGAGGTCAGAGGGATCGACAACTATGTAATCAGTATGGCGTAAACATGGCTCCCAGCTGCTCCAGAAACAGCTACAGCGCATAGTAGTAGAGAAAAGGCAAGAAGTGCAGATGTTTCTAAATAAAGGCGTCTAAAAGGTCGATAGGCGGTATGGGAGAGCACTCGGACAACTAATCAACAACCCTAGAAAAACAGCCACCTTGTAACCTAACACCATCCTGAACGCAACACTTCGCAACACGAGACACGACCGATTCCCGGATAGAACAACGACGAAACCGCAATCTACTGTCCTAACACAGGTCTCAAGCTTCGCACCATGATGGCAGATGGCCGAGGGTTCTGATGAAGTGGGTAGGCGACTAAACCCCAACGCAGCCTGAAGGTAGAGGCTCGAGTGGGGAGAAGAGAGAAGTGGAAGGAAAGAATTCCTGAGCCAAGGGAAGGGAAAAGAAGAAGGTGTTGTTCGATAAAGAGATCCTCGGGTTGCGACCTAACTCGCAGATTGTGCTGGTACTACACAAGTTACACGTAGTGAGTCGACAAATCCCTCGGAACATTCTTGATAGTAGCGAAATTTCACGATTAGAAACAATGTGTTTCGTCGTCTACAGTACCATTCAATCCGTTTAAATCTTGCTGCGTAATAAGCATCTCAAAGCAACAAACTTGGCCTTCCAATGCGTACACGCGAAGCCCTGATTTTCGACCACCAATATTCCCCCAAACCTCTCAAAACACAATCCACTTCCAAAAGCCACGTGAGCGTCTGCCTCAATTCTTCACCTGTCGACGTCACCGACTCCCGCGGGCACCGAATAAACGCGCGACAGCGTGGCTATACGGGCATACCATCTCACGAATTTCACCTCCATCTCGGGCTTCCCCCCACCCCGTCTCCTCTTCCACCTCATCCTTCCCTCCACCCTCTGACCTGCCAACCTCCCTGCTCGCTGTTGGGACTTGCTTGCGCTAGACCTAGGAACTTGCCTAACTTGGCACATCTCCCGAATCACGCGATCCGACGTCCCACCATGGCTGGCTCCATCGCGCAGCTCTCCCACTCCCTGGCCTCCGTGTCATTGGGCTCGGCCACATCCTGCTCCTTCGCAGGGTTGAGGGCGAACAAGCCTGCTGCCTCAGTCTCCCTCGTAGCCTCCAGGGTAATCCCTCTTAGCTTGTCGTGAGGCTTAGCTTAGCTTGCGGATAGTCGGAATGTGGGGTTAGTTGAGCATTAAGGGCCACATATGATAGTCGATCGAGTGACCTAAGTGTAGTTTGTTCTGTTTCGAGCAGCCTATCGCTTAGCTAGTCTGGCTACTCCGTATTTCCACACCTTAAGCCATTCCTGCGTCTACAAAAATAGTTTTTTTCTTTTCAGGGCGTTACCAGGCTTTCGTGTTGCTTTCCATGAAGTTAGACGATTTCCTCCTTTCGCTGCGGTTCTGGTCTTTGAAGCACTGACCATTCCATTCCGCCGTCCTCCCCCCCCCCCCCCCGCCCCTCTACGTGTAACCCTCTCTTCCCCCCCTCTCTCTCTCTCTCTCCCTCCCTCTTCCTCTCCTTCTATCTCTTTCACTCACTCCCCCGCACTTCCTCTCCCAATGCTGTTCCCACGGCCCTCAACAGACGTCGCCAGTGGTGGCTGCTCCCTCGCGCCTGGCCGTGAGATGCGCGCGTGTGGCCGGAGTGGAAATCCCGAACTCGAAGCGCGTGGAGACGTCGCTGACGTACATCCACGGCGTGGGCAAGACGACGGCGCGGCAGGTGCTGCTGGACGTGGGCCTCGAGAACAAGCTCACGCGCGACCTGTCGGAGGAGGAGCTCACGCGCCTGAGAGATGAAGTCTCCAAGTACATGACCGAGGGCGACCTGGTGAGCTTGCCCGCCACAGATGTCTAATGATCTGAATGTCCAAAGAATCAGGTTGCTTGTTGGAAGCGGGAAAAAGAGTGGGAGGGAGGGGGGGGGGGGGGGGGGGGGGGGGGAGAGAGGAGGAACGGGGAGAAGGGGGAACGACGAAGGGAGGGGGGGATGGAGGAGGGGAGAGATGGAATATACTTTTTAGGGTTTGTCCTCATATGCGGCAGCATGTTGGATCTTCGACGAGTACCACGCGATACGCGGTTTAATTGTGTTTCTATATTGGGTCCTCTTGCCAGCCGGCCTGGTTGTGTGGGAGTCTGCACCGAGATTACATGGCTGAATAATGGTCTCTCTCCCACGTTGCTTCTCTTCCCCACAATCCCTCCCGTCTCTCTCCCCCACCCCCTTCATCTCTGTTTTCCCTGTCCCCCGTACTCCCTCACCTTCCGCTCATTTCTCGCGTCACTTCTCCCTGTCCCCCGTACTCCCTCACTCCTTCATTCCTCCATCTCCCTTGTCCTCCCCCTCCTCCCCTCTCTCCCTGTTACGCGGTCTCCTCCGTACCTTCGTTTCTCGACTCCGTTCTCCCCATCCTAACTCCGCACATCCATTCCCGTTCCATCCATCCATCATCTCCCCCCATCCTTTTTCCTTCTGGTTCCCACCTCCCTCTCCCCGCCCCGCCCTTCCTTCGAATCTGTGTGTCTCATGGTTCTCCCCTCCTCACAGAGGCGGTTCAACCTGATGGCGGTGAAGCGGCTGAAGGACATAATGTGCTACCGCGGCAGGAGGCGCATTCAGACGCCTCACAAGTTCCCCTTTTCCAATCTCTTGCCCTTTCAATCTGTGTGGTGTACCGTGGTTTCCCCCCCTTGACAGAGGCGGTTCAACCTGATGGCGGTGAAGCGGCTGAAGGACATCATGTGCTACCGCGGCAGGAGGCACATCGCCAACCTGCCGTGCCGCGGCCAGCACACCAAGTGCAACGCCCGCACACGCCGCGGCAAGAAGGTCACGGTCGCTGGCAAGAAGAAGTAAGGGGTGGAGAGAGTGCTACGGATGACGTAGGCCGGTGAAAATAGGGTTGAATTTGATGATGCCCTGGAGACCCCTGGTTTCGTGACTATCAGCAGGTCGCGGAGTTGAAGGCAAGGGGGAGCAGGTGGAGGCTTGACATGACACGCCTGTTGCTGATGTTGCTATATTTGCCTGTGACATATTGGAGATCAATGCACAAAAATAATGCCGACTCAAGCAAAGCACACTGAACTGAAAGGGCCCATCCACAATGTTATGCCAGCTAGTTTCTTCCTGCCTGGCCCCTGCACAACCTGGCAATCAAAGCCGTTCCATTGCATGACACACAGGGCACAACGGCTCACGAGAAGGTTCTTAGAAACAATTCACCATGCCAGATTCCCTTGCAGACTTTCTTCAACTTGTGTTCTTGCCAGATGGAGAGGTCTTGCGGTAGCAATAATACCACCGTACCAATCGCTAAATACAGTACTCAATTGGTTGGTATCTGAGAATTACGGTATATGGAAAACAAGCTGGCCGCTATCACTAATTCGACCCTACCCTTCGCTTATCGTCGTTCTCTACGAGGCACTCATTTTGAGACAGCCAAAACTACGGTAGCTAACCAGGTCCCTCTCCCTCTACACATCTGTCACAAACACACCACTATCTTCGTCATCCATCAGCCAATCTAGCTTCGCATCTAACGCATTCTGACTGAACCCCCCATCCTCCCAGCCCTGCTGCTGCTCCTCAGCGCCCCCACCGCCTGCAGCACCGGGGGTGTCACCATCCCCGCCCGTCCCCACGTTGGCCGGCAGGGCAGGGCGCGGTTGGGCGGAGAGGGAGCGCTTGAGAGCCTTGATGGAGCGGAGCAGGTCGGTGACAGTGGGGCGGGAGAGGGGGTCGGAAGCGGTGCAGGAGAGGGCGAGGCGCACCATGGGCAGCACGATGGCGTCGGGTGCTTCGGGCAGGTGGGCGGCACGGAGGTTGGCTGTCATGTTGCGAGATACTAGGTGATGTGCCTGCATGCACAGGGATGGGATTTTTTCCGACGTGTTGGGTTGTGGGTACAAGGAGCCAAAGGGAGGAGATGGATGCATGAGTGCATGTGACGAGATGGATACATGCGTGTCTGTTGAGCAGATGGTTGCATGCGTGCTTGCTGTGGATCCATGGAGGCGAACGCACCGGTGTCGTGGCGTGGCGTGGAGGGTAGAGGGTGGAGGGTGTGTGTTAGGTTCATTTGTTCAGAAGCACGCCCTCCACTGAAAAAAGCTGTCAGCGGAGCCTAGAAGGTGCATATACTGTTGGTGGGGCATTGTGATCGGTTCCCACTTGAGTGTGGGAGGGCTGCAGGTGCGTTCGGGGAGGTTATGCGTGTGCTACCCACCATACAAAAGTGCATGTTCCCTGCACTGCACTCACCCAGTCTTCATTTAAGACGACCCAAAAATCACTCACCCACTTCCGAATGTGCACAGAGCCGCTGCTCATACTGCTGCTGTTGCTGCTGCTGTTGTAGCTGTTTGTGCTGATGCTGTTGCTGCTGTTGCTGCTACTGCCGCCACCCCTGCTGCCAGGTTTGTTGCCTTGCTGGTCAGAGCCTGCAGCTGTGGGTATCAAGGCAGGGCGCCCAGTGATAATCTGCAGCATCACCACACCAATACTGGGAGGTGGGGATGGGGTGATAGGGGGAGAGTGAATAAAAAATCAGAAGCAGGAGAAGAGAAGGGATAAGTGTTTGGCTGTCCAATCAGTTGAAATGATCGTTAGTTACGGCGAAAGCACATTGAGTCGACTCAATCAGACGAATTAGCGACATCTGGTTCCTCGCACAGGGTAAGGTATAGGAGAGAAGGAGGTGGGGAGAGGGGACAGGAAGAGGGAGACAGACAGGTAGAGGTGCGTCAGTTGAAAAGGTTGAGAGAATCACTGTTGCAACGTCTTGTCTGAGTGGATTTTAGAATTGTGAGTAGCAGCGGTTGAGTTCTTTTGAGCTGCACAGATGTTGAGGTGTCTCAACAGCTGAGGACTGTAGGAGGAGTCAAGTTGAGCAGCACGGACGGACCTGAAAACGTCCGTGGAGGGCGTGGTGCGAGCAGAGGCATGCAGGATTGGGTCCATGTATGCATGGTTGGCAGGTGGCCGTGTGACCCTCCGTGCTGGTGGTGCTGCTGCTGCTGCTGCTGGTGCTGCTGCTGGTGGTGGTGGTGCTGCTGCTGCTGCTGCTGCTGCTGGTGATGATGTTGATGCTGGTGGTGGTGCTACTGCTGCTGTTTCTGGTGGTGGCGTTGCTGCTGCTGGTGCTGTGGGGATGAATGGGAGCGGGTCGCCCATTTTCACGGCCATGCAACCAGCCAAGACAGGCTGAGGGAAAGAAGGCATGGGCATGGGGTGCGGGGGCGGACGAGGGGCAAGAAGCGGCGTGAACGCAGAGGCCAAGGGGTCAAGGGAGAAACGCAACTTTGAGATGTCTCAAAAGCCAAGGGGAAGAGTCAGCTGATGGGATGAAGAGGACGGACGGAGTTGAGAGAACGTGGAGAAGAGCTACGTGTGTGTGGTAGAACAATGCAACAGCTGCATTGTGCATGCAACCACTTGTCACTTCATCTGCATCACTGCACCTACGTGTTATTTCACATGAACGGCAGGTGGCACGTTACCTGGACAGCAATGGGCACTTCACCTGCAGGGCAGAGGGGTGTTCACCTGCAGGGCAGATGGCAGTTCACCTGCAGCGCGGATACACCTTCACCTGTGTGTCACTCAGCACGTCACCTGCAGCGCGGTGTCAAGCAGGATGTTGCGTGGGTGTATGCGGCCATGCACGACCCCATGGCTCTGGATGTGCTTCAGCCCGCGCAGCACACCCGCGGTCACATCCAGGCACTGCCACACTGACAGAGGCACGCTGCCCTCTGCACGGCGGGAGGAGGTAAGTGGTGTTCCGAAGGAGGACGAGGGCAGTTGGGGAGTAGAGGGAAGCAGAGGAGGGTACAGGGGAATATGTGGGAGCATAAGGAGAAGGTAGAGCATTAGGAGGAGGAGAAGGTCTTTTGTTTTTTTTGAGAGAATTTGTGTGGATTGACGTGTTTGCAACAGAATGACGATAATTCTCACACAAGCTTAGCAGGAGGAAGGGTAGGATGGAAAACACGGAACTGGGGAGAGAATGGTTGGCCTGGTAGAGTGGATCAAACATGGATCAGACAAGCACCGACAGAGGTTGGAGTACAATAGGCAAGCAGGAGGCAGCGGCATGGAGAGAGAGATATGGGCATGTAGAGAGGGGAGGGAAAGGAGTGGAGAGAGAAGGGTGGCAGTGCGACCAGGTAAAGATGTACCTGCAACGAGGCGGCTGTGCAAATTGCCTCCTGGCACCCACTCAAACACTAGCACCTGCTTCTCTGCTTGCTCCACTGCATGAGTCAAAGCAGCAGCAGCAGCAGAATCAGCACTAGCACCATCAGCACCAGTACGCTTAGTGCTATCAGCACTGCCAGGCTTCTCCCAGCAATACCCCAGCAGTCGCTGCAGGTTGGTATGGCAGATGGACCAAAGCGTGGCCACCTGGGCAGGGAAGGAAGGAGGAAGCACCCACAAGGAGGGGGGGCATAAAAGGGCTATTGGAAATTGGAGCAATGCGATACTAACATTGGTACCAAAACGGCTGCAGCGGCAGCGGTAGCAGCTGCGTCGGCAGCAGCAGCGGAGCAGCAGAGGAGAACTACCCACAGCTGCCTCACCTCTTTCTGGAAGTCGGTGGAAAGCTCCTCGTTGCCACGCCTCACAACGAACCACACCTGGCGCGCATCGAGAGGACTCACTGCCTTGTACCTCTGCCCTCCACTGCTGCTGCTGCTTCCAATGCTGCTGCTGGTGCCAATGCTGTTGCCAATGCTGCTGCTGCTGCTGCTGCTGCTCCGCCCCTGCTTCTCCAACCTGTTGACCTCATTCCACCCACCCGTTGCTTGTTCCACGAGAGAAAACTGGAACTTCGGACAGCGGGAGCGATTAAAGACACGAGATGCTGACGTGGAAGAAGGAGAGGGGGAGAGAGGAGAGATTAGAGACAGGAGAGAGTGGGGAACCTGATGGTAAGATGATGGTGAGAGGTAAAAACGGCGATAGTGTCTGCCATGATTGCCAGAGATGCCACACACATACCTCTTACTAAGAGGCTCTTAGAGTCGTGGCATGGCACTCAACTCAACTACTTGCTTTGCTCTTACCTGAGGCAGCTAGAGGCTGTAGCTTCGATCCTTGGGCTCCCTGCTGCACGTACACAGCAGCCACGACAGCAGCAGCAGCAGCAGCCACAAGCAGACACAACGCCCCGACGATTATCCCCACGATTGCGGAGGTTGGCAAACCGGTGGAGGGTGGAGGAGAAGGAGGAGGGGCGAGCGGAGAGGAGACGGCAAGGAGAGACGACAGAGGAGGGGGTGGGGGGGTCATGAGAGCGAGGCTGGGAGGGAGAGGATGTGAGAGGGGAGGAGGGGGAGGAGGGTTGCGACGTTGGCCTGTTGGGAGAGAGGGAGGGAAGGAAATGGGGTGTTGAGGGATGTGGAGGAGGAGAGCAGCTGTTGATCTGGAGAGTTGTGATGGCAATTGAGGTGACTTTTGAGTCGACTCAACAGTCAGCTGTTGAGCTGGAGAGCTGTGATGGCAATATGAAGTGGCAGATGGCACGTTGGCTGAAGTCAAACGAGCGCCGTGGAGACTAACGAGCGGCGTGACGACAAACGAGCGGCATGACGACTAACGAGTGGCGTGACGATTGCCGCAACTACCACATTCACAAAGGAACACGAGAAGCCATCTCATTGCAGTGCGAGCCACGCAGGTAGGCAGAGACATGAAAAACCATTCCATTTTCACCGTTGAGAGGGATGCAGGAGGCACAGAAGTCAGAGCAGAGAGCCCGGCAGAAGAAGGAGGAGGTGTTCTGCTGTATCTCACAGCTGCTGCCAGCCCTGCCGCATGTCACCCCTGCATTAATGTTTCTGAAGAGGGCGAGATGGCAGGGGAGTGTGAAGAGTAGCGGGGAAGAGTGTGGAGTGCTGTGCAAAGGAGGAAGCGAATGGCAAGTGGCCAAAGATTAAAGAGTCGTAGGCGTTGTTCATCTATGTATGTATGTATGTATGTATGTATGTATGTATGTATGTATGTATGTATGTATGTATGTATGTATGTATGTATGTATGTATGTATGTATGTATGTATGGATGGATGGATGGATGGATGGATGGATGGATGGATGGATGGATGGATGGATGGATGGATAGATGGATGGATGGATGGATGGATGGATGGATGGTTGGATGGATGGATGGATGGATGGATGGATGGATGGATGGATGGATGGATGGATGGATGGATGGATGGATGGATGGATGGATGGATGGATGGATGGATGGATGGATGGATGGATGGATGGATGGATGGATGGATGGTTGGATGGATGGATGGATGGATGGATGGATGGATGGATGGATGGATGGATGGATGGATGGATGGATGGATGGATGGATGGATGGATGGATGGATGGATGGATGGATGGATGGATGGATGGATGAAGTACAGGATGAGGTGAGGTTTAGGGGACTAACAATAGAGTGACTTTGGAGAGAGCACCAAGGGAGGCTGGCAGCGACCCAGACACGTTGGTGTTGGCGAGGTTCCTGAGACAGGGTGGTTGAGGGGTGAGCGACAGAAGGAACAAAACAGGCAGATGGGAGGAGCAGGTGGGCTGTGGACTGAGGATTTGGTACGGATCACTGATTTGATTATGGAGATACGTTTGTTTGAAGACAGAAAGAAAGAAAGAAGGAAAGAAAGAAAGAAAGAAAGAAGGAAAGAAAGAAGGAAAGAAAGAAAGAGAGTGAAGTAAGGTAACTCAAAGGCGATACGCGTGCGTGCGTGACACCCCTTGCATGCTCACAACCGCCCCCCCACCTCCCCACCCCTTCCCCCCACCACATACAAGTACTCGAGACTGGCGAGCTGACCAATAGTCCCGGGGATTGTGCCACTGATACGAGTGTCGGAGAAATCACTAATATGCAGCGCATTGCATTGCCATGTGGATGCACGGTAGGACGCAGAGAGAAATGGGAGTGCTGTTAGACTGCTGTTTCAAACTGCTGTTTAAACCTTGTCGTTTTGACTCTCTCGTCGTCATCTCTAGCCTGATGTTTTGAAGACAGACCGTAAGCAGAGCAGAACTCAAAGGCAGGTTAAGCACAACAGGAAACAGTCTTGGGTAGGGTCGGGAGGGATGGGAGGGATGGGAGGGATGGGGGGGGATGGGAGGGATGGGAGGGATGGAGGGGATGGGAGGGATGGAGGGCACTGACATAGCGCGTAAAGAGGAGAGGCCGGAGATGACGGAGGGGATGGTTCCTGAGATGCTGGTATGGGCCATCAAGCTGACCAAGGCACATGAGGGGTGTGGAGCGTGGAGAGAGAGGGGGGTGGAGTGAATGTGTAAGGCAGTGGTGGTGAGCAGATCGCCGACACTTGTACTGTTGTTGACCACATACACGGACAGCAGCACCCATGCACAGCAGCACCCATGCACAGCAGCACCCATGCACAGCAGCACCCATGCACAGCAGCACCCATGCACAGCAGCACCCATTCACAGCAGCAATCATGCACAGCAGCACCCATGCACAGCATCACCCATGCACAGCAGCACCCATGCACAGCAGCACCCATGCACAGCAGCACCCATTCACAGCAGCAATCATGCACAGCAGCACCCATGCACAGCAGCACCCATGCACAGCAGCACCCATGCACAGCAGCACCCATGCACAGCAGCACCCATGCACAGCAGCACCCATTCACAGCAGCAATCATGCACAGCAGCACCCATGCACAGCAGCACCCATGCACAGCAGCACCCATGCACAGCAGCACCCATTCACAGCAGAAATCATGCACAGTTACAGAGATCTTAGGTTCTTGAGAGCCGTGATGGTGGAGGGAATGGGTCCGGAAATCTTGGTTGTATCAAAGTTCCTGCCATGGGACATGTGGCATGGGTGAGATGTGATGTGACATATGGCATATGGTATGTGGCATACACGATTGTGATCGTCAGGACACATGACAAGACAAAACGAGACAACGGTGTCAGCAACATTACCACGATACTTGTTAGAAACGTCTTGCCTTCCGGTCTTAACAGCTTTGTATGTAAAAGGATCCCGAGGGGTGGAGGGGGATGTTCACAATTTAGTGAGCCGAGAGAGGCGTGTGATGAAAGAGGGGATGGTCCCATTGAAATTATTCGTGGAGATGTCCCTACAGGCAGGGCAGAGGGCAGAGGGCAGCGGGCAGGGGGCAGGGGGCAGGGGGCAGAGGGCAGAGGGCAGAGGGCAGCGGGCAGAGGGCAGAAACTGCGAAAGCTCTGAAGCTGCAGTGTGTGCGATTACCTAGGAGAAGGGTGGTGAGTTTGAAACACAGGAGAATGACAAGCACAAGCCTTTACCTTCCACCATCATCCTCCCCCCTGCCTGCTCTGCTCTGCACTGCACGAAACCCACGAATATAGCCTCTCACCACGTGTCTGCCTGATTGCTCCTGCCGTGCGGCAGCGTGCCTGGTTGTAATCTGTTGCCGTGTCTATGTCTTGTCTCCTGCCGCAGATCTGCTGGTTCTAATTCTGGCGATAGGGCACCCGCGACTCCTCCTGCCTTAGAGCTAGCGTCGCTGTCGTCACTTCTCGCAGGCGCTGGCCTTCCAATCTCTCTCTCTCTCTCTCTCTCTCTCTCTCTCTCTCTCTCTCTCTCTCTCTCTCTCTCTCTCTCTCTCTCTCTCTCTCTCTCAAATGGTCCTTTGTATTAATTCAGCAGGGGGTACAGACATGCAGTGTGACTCGTGGTTCCCTTAGACCTTCCGACCCATTAACCCCTCCCTCTGACCCTCTCCCCCCCCCCCCTTAGTGCCCCTCTACCCCTCCAGCGTGTGGAGGATGTCCCCTAGGTGCAGCGGCCATGGGTCCGCTGCCATTTGGGGGTGCGCTGCCTCAATCCCAGCCCTGGCCTTGGTGTGCAGGGCATTCGCCTGGAAGCGCTGAAGGGCCACTGACCAGCGTTGGCTGAAGTGGCAGGCCATCTTCTTGGCCGATTTGGCCAAGGGGTTGGCCCTGAACCTGTTCCTAGCCGCTGCTGTGGCCAGCAGCTTAAGGAACGCTGTCGTGGGGGGCGCGTTTGCCCCGTAGGTCTCGACGGCCAGGGCGCAGAACACCACGTGTTCGGTGTGCCTGTAGTAGTCCGTCTCTCTCTCTCCCTCTCTCTCTCTCTTTCTCCCTCCAATGCGTTGCAAAAGCACAAAAACATGAGTGCGGCGAGTTTTGCAACGTCTCAAAGCACGGGGAGAGGGGGTTTCACTGTGTCACCCACTAGTAAGTGTGAGTGATTTTTAGGAGCCTTACAAGTCAAATCACGAGGAGAGGGGAGGGCACTGTGACACGCACAAGGAAGTGAGCGCGGTGAGGTTGGCGATGCTGGTGGGGATGCTGCCGTTGAGATTCAAGGCCCAGATGGTCCTGCGGTCAAGTTTACAAGTGGAAAGGGAGGCCCGTGTGCATGTGTGGTGCGTGTGTTTGTGTGTGTGTGTGTGTGTGTGTGCGTGTGTGCGTGTGTGTGTGTGTGTGTGTGTGCGTGTGTGTGTGTGTGTGCGTGTGTGTGTGTGTGTGTGTGTGTGTGTGTGTGAGTGTGTGTGTGTGTGAGTGAGAGAGAGAGAGAGAGAGAGAGGGAGAGAGAGGGAGAGAGGGGGAGAGAGAGGGAGAGGGAGAGAGAAGGGGGGATAGAAGGGTGGGAGGAGATCAAGAGAAGCAGTGGCAAGCAGTTGAAAGAGAAGGTTGTCAAGGCTGCCAACGCGAAGCAGAAAATCGCAGCACAGAACACAAAACGCAGCACACAGCACAAACAAAGCATACAGGACATAGCTAGCACACAACGCGCAACGAAGATGATCGCAACACAGCACGCAGCTAGCTGGCAGCCTGGCACGGCACGCGGGTACAACACTGTGTGTCTCACATGGTGTCCACGTTTCCCTGTGCATCGCACGAGATCCTGTCAGCCAGCAGGCAATCCGCGCCTGCCGTCCACCCGCTAAAGGGTGCAATGTTCAGCGCCGCCGCGCACTCCTGTAGGACCGCCGCTGCCACGCGGGAAGGAAACGCGGGAAACGCGGGCAATTGCAGCCAAGCGAGGCAATTACTACGGGAGATTGCGGGGAACGCGGGCAGCGCCGGCCACGCCGGAAGCGTGGCGGACATGGCAGATAGCACTTCCGCGGACATCGGAGATAGCACGGTGTAACACGCGCAACGTACAACCGAGGATTTCAACGGTCGCAAGGGATGGGGTGGTCCACTCTGGGAAATGAGGGCATGCTGGTTGAACGCACACAGCAGTGTGCGTTGAGGGCATCCGCTGCGCCTAAAAACACCCTCGTTTTGACCCTGTGAGAAGCGAGGCGTTATAGGAGTGCACGTTACCGCACAGCAAGACTACACAACCCCCACCTTGGGACGCTTGTAGAGGAATTGCGCTACGGGCGTGCGAAAGGAGCGCCATTGCCGCTACCACCAACACAAGCGCGCGCGCGCGGAAAGCATGAAAGGCCCCACGCCGCGAATCCACCGTGAAACCCCGCCATTCGCATGCGGCCCCCGCCGTTATCCGCCCATACACATCTTCCTGCGGGCGACCACATCCCGAAAAATCGCCTCGCAAAGAGCCTCTCGGGATGAGCGCCGCTCGCTTCGCCATGGCTACCCAGTTACTGGGTTGTCGTAACCATTACTTTGTTTTGTGCGTGAGCGGGGAGAGTCTAGGAGGAAAGCAAGGACACGAGGAGGCTCCCATCCCATCCCATCCCACCCACCACCGAAATGAGAGTTGATTTGTTGGTTGGGAAGCTATTTGTCGAATGCTTCACGCGCTTCGCTGATCCGAATTGTGCGCAAATTGCACAATAGCCAAGACTTGCAAGGGGGTGAGGTGTACTCAATGTAGAATAGTAGCATACAAGATTGAGTAAACGAAAGTAACTTTATCTCACACCATGCCAACACAGAATATCCCCAACTCCTCTCCCCTCCTCCCCAACCGCGCTCCAACATGGGAGCATCACAAGCAGCAGTAGAGAGGGCATTGCGCTCAGTGATCCTCGCAATGTTCTGTATATGGTTGCTTTAAGCACGTCCCACTTTCAATCTACAAATCGGTCACAAACGGACCACTATCTTCTTCCTCCAGAAGCCAGTCTAACTTTGCATCTAACGCATTCTGACTGGAACCCTCCAAAAACACATCCCCATGCTCCCCACCCTGCTGCTCTGCAGCACCCCCACCACCTGCTGCACTGTGCATGTCACCACCCCTGCTGGTGCCTACGTTGGCCGGCAGGGCAGGGCGCGGGTGGGCGGAGAGGGAGCGCTTGAGAGCCTTGATGGAGCGGAGCAGGTCGGTAACAGTGGGGCGGGAGAGGGGGTCGGAAGCGGTGCAGGAGAGGGCGAGGCGGACCATGGGCAGCACGATGGCGTCGGGTGCTTCGGGCAGGTGGGCGGCGCGGAGGTGGGCCGTGATGTTGCGTGTTACCATGTGCTGTGCCTGCACAGGGATGGGAATTTTCGACGAGTAAGAGGAATGAAAGGGAGGAGATGGATGCAGGATTGGGAAGAGATGTTGTGCATCCATAGAGGAGGACGCACCGGACTTGTGGTGTGGTGTGGCATGGCGGGTGAGTGCTAGGGGCACGAGTAGTCAGCGAAGCATGGAATGTGCATATGCAGCTGATGCATGTGCAGTGGGTGTATGGTGGAGTGTAGTTTTACTTTCCTGGATATTACCTGTATAAAGTCTATATTTATGCTTTTCAGCCGTGCCATGATTTTCCTCACTGTCGGATTTAGTTTTCAGAGCATCGCTATCGTTTGAACCCTGGGAGCCCACACCGCACTCACCCAGTCTCGAATGTGCACTGAGCTGCTGCTGCTGCTGTTGTAACTGTTTGTTCGCACGCTGTTGCTGCTGTTGCTGCTGTAGCTGTTTGTGCTGATGCTGTTGCTGCTGTTGCTGCTACTGCCACCACCCCAGCTGCCGGAGCTGGCGCCTTGCTGATCGTCGTTGCGTGCAGCTGTGGGTATCAAGGCAGGCCGTCCTGTGATGAGCTGCAGCATCACCACACCAATGCTGGCAGGTGGGGATGGGGGGATGGGGGGATGGGGGAGAGTGGAGACGAAAGTAGGGGCGGGAGGAGAGAAGTAAGGCCATGGAGGGGAGCAGGGGAGAGGCGGGCATTTGACTGAGAGTTGAGTTGAGCAGCAACAAGCATGAGTGGCAGCATCATATGTGAGCAGCAGCAACATGTAGCGGCTCCCATCTTCAAGTGGATTCAAATTCTTGAGTGGGAGAGACGGAGAGTCGCATTTGAGAACTCTAAACAGCGACTCTGGTTGAGCAACACGGTTGTTGAGACGTCTCAGAAGTTGAGCAGCACGGACGGACCTGAAGACATCAGTGGTGGGCGTGGTGCGAGCAGATGCATGCAGTGTTGGGTCCATGTATGCATGGTTGGCAGGTGGCCGTGTGACCCTCCCTGCTGATGGCGCTGGCGCTGGTGATGATGCTGATGCTGCTGGTGGTGGTGGTACTGCTGCTGCTGCTGCTGCTGCTGCTGCTGCTGCTGCTGCTGCTGCTGCTGTGGGGATGGATGGGAGGGGGTCGCCCATTTTCACGGCCATGCAACCAGCCAAGACAGGCTGAGGGTAAGGCATGGGTATGGGTTAGCGGGGAGGCGAGGGGCAAGAAGCGGCGTGAATGGATTGCAGGGGGTCAAGGGAGAGACGCAGCTGCTGGTCGATGGGATGAGGAGGACAGAGTTGAGAGAATGGGAAAAAGCTACGTGTGTGTGGAAAAACGGGTGACTGTCACTGCACCTGCACGACAAGTGGCACATATCCCAAATGGCAGATGGGACTTCACCTGCACCTCACTTCACCTATGATTCACTTCACGTGTACGGCAACTGGCAACTGGCTATGCACGTCACCTGCAGGGCAGATGGGACTTCACCTGCAGGGCAGACAGGAGTTCACCTGCAGCGCGGTGTCAAGCAGGATGTTGCGTGGGTGTATGCGGCCATGCACGACCCCATGGCTCTGGATGTGCTTCAGCCCGCGCAGCACACCCGCGGTCACATCCAGGCACTGCCACACCGACAGAGGCGCACACCCCTCTGCACGGCGGGTGGAGAAAGGGGGGCAGAGGGGAGTAAAGGGGAGTAGAGGGGAGAAGAGTGGAGGAGGAGTAAGTAAGAGGTGTTTGGTGGGGAAAACACGGAGCAGAGTGGGTGGTGGAAAATGAGTGCTCTGGTAAAGGAATCAGACAATCACCGGCAGAGGATGGAGTGCAATAGGCAAGCTTAGAGGCAGAGTCATGGAGGGATGGATATGCATGGAGAGAGTAAGTTGGGGGGGAGGGGGCCCAGGGGTGGATGCACCTGCATCGAGGCGGCTGTGCAGATTGCCTCCTGGCACCCACTCAAACACTAGCACCTGCTCTCCTCTGCTTGCTCCACCGGATGACTGGTTGTAGCATCAGCACCAGCACTCTCACCACTACCAACAGCAGCAGCAGGCGAGTCACTGCCACGCTTCTCCCAGCAATACCCCAGCAGTCGCTGCAGGTTGGTGTGGCGGATGGACCAAAGCGTGGCCACCTGGGCAGGGAAGAAAGCACCCATAAGGAGAAGGGGGGGGGATAGAGGGGCAAGTTGTAAGATAAGATGCACCAAAACGGCTTCCAGAGGCTGCTTTTGTTTTGCTGCTGTTGGTTATGATGGAGGAGGAGGAGGAGGAGGAGGAGGAGGAGGAGGAGGAGGAGGAGGAGGAGGAGGAGGAGGAGGAGGAGGAGGAGGAGGAGGAGGATGATGCAAGCAGGAAGTTCTGAATGTGTGAATGTCTGAATCATGTACCAAGCAGCTAGTGTCTGTGTGGGTGGGATAATCAGTTTAGGACCAAAGGCTCCTTGTGTGATGCTGCTGCCGGCGATCAGTTTAGAATGTGCGCATCATGTACCAAGCAGCCTAACTTTGAGGCGCCTCAAAAGTTGCATACTCCAAGCAGCTAGTGTCTGTGTAGGTGGGTTACATGTTAAGTTGTCTTACTGGCCTACATTGGGTTGGTTGAATTTCCATCTTTTTGTTTTTTTTTTTTTTTTTTTTTTTCCTGCCTTCCACCCTTTCATTTGAGTTCATTTTGCAGCATGAGAGGTAAGTGTGACTCACGATGAGAAAACGCTCCAGTGAGCTTGATATTTTTTACCCAGACCGTAAGACATGTGAGCAGAGCAGAGCAGAGAAAGACCCAAAGGCAGGTTTAGGCACAACAGAAAACAGTCTTGACAGGGATGGGAGGGATGGGAAGGATGGGAGGGATGGGAGGGATGGGAGGGATGGGAGGGATGTGAGGGATGGGAGGGATGGGAGGGATGGGAGGGATGGGAGGGATGGGAGGGATGGGAGGGATGGGAGGGATGGGAGGGATGGGAGGGATGGGAGGGATGGAGAGCACTGACAGAGAGCTTAGAGAGGAGAGGCCGGAGATGGTGGAGGGGATGGATCCTGAAATGCTGGTATAGGCTAACGACCTGACCAAGGGATATAAGGGGTGTGGAGCGTGGAGAGAGGAGCGGGTGGAGTGAATGTGCAAGGCGTGGGATAACAGATCGTGACACTTGTGCTTTTTGAGAATTCTCAAAAATCGCTCACAAGGCACGGGATAACAGATCGTGACACTTGTGCTGCTGTTGACTGACTGTATGCTTGCATGGCAGCGCCCATGCATAGCAGCGCCCATGCATAGCAGCGCCCATGCATAGCAGCACCCATGCATAGCAGCGCCCATGCATAGCAGCGCCCATGCATAGCAGCGCCCATGCATAGCAGCGCCCATGCATAGCAGCGCCCATGCATAGCAGCGCCCATGCATAGCAGCGCCCATGCATAGCAGCGCCCATGCACAGTTACAAAGTATTGAGGTTCTTGAGTGCCCCGATGGTGGAGGGAATGGGTCCGGAGATCAGGGTTAGATGAAGGTCCCTGCCATGGGACATGTGCCATGTGGCATTAGTGAGATGTGATGTGACATGTATGCGGCACGTGGCGTGTAATGTTATGTGGCATACGGTGTGTGGCATGCATGATTGTGATCGTCAGGCAGATAGTGGTAGCAGCCATTTTAAAGAGGACAAGGCTTATGACAAAACAAAATGGGACAAAGTTGTCAGCAATAATACCATGACACTTCTTAGAACAAATTGTCGTAGCCTTAACAATTTTGTATAAAAAAAGATCCTGAGGGGTGGAGAAAATCACTCACAGAACACTTAGCTGAGAGAGTCGTGTGATGAAAGAGGGGATGGACCCGGCAAAGTCATTCCAGGCGGCGCAACTAGAGGGAGGGCGAGGGCAGAGGGCAGAGGGCAGAGGGCAGAGGGCAGAGGGCAGAGGGCAGAGAACAGCAGGTAGAGAGCGAAGCGAGAACAAAACTTCATTAGTTCTGAAGCTGCAGTAAGTGTGATTTGCTGGGAGCAGGGTGGTATTTGAAAAAACAAGAGAATGAAAGACGCAAGCCGTTGCCTTCCACCATCATCCTCCCTACCTGCTCTGCGCCCGAAACTGCACTGCACTGCACTATACTGCACGGCATCACACTGCACCGCACTGCACCTCCACTCTTTATTTCCCTCCACTCTCGAACGGTCCTTCGTATTAGTTTCATAGCAGGTACAAGCGAGGGGGGAAAGCAATGACCATGAATCAATCGTGCTTATTCTTCCCTTGAGTCACATCACCTACCGCCCCTCCAGGGTCTGGCGTAGGTTCCCAAGCTGTAGCAGCCATGGGTCCGCGGGCGCTGCGGAATGGGCCGCCTCTATGGCATGACAATAGCCTCCCTCTCTCGCCACGCGTTTGCCTGGTCGCTCCTGCCGTGGCTCGGTGTGCCTGGTTGTCATTTGTTGCTGTGCCCATGTCTCCTGCCGCACGTCTGCTGATTCTGATTCTAACGATAGGGCACCCGCGGCTCCCTCCAGCCGGCCAATAGCTTGCGTCACTTCTGGTCGTTTCTCGTCGTTTCTCGCAGGCACTGGCCTTCCAGTCCAGTCTCTCTCTCGTTCCCTCCGATGCGTTGCAAGAAGCACGAAGGAGTGAGTGCGGCGAGTTTTGCAATGTCTCAAAGCACATGGGACAGGGGGTTCGCTGCGTCACACACAAGTAAGTGTGAGTGTTTTCTAGGCGCCTCAACAGTTGAAGCACAGGGAAATGGCTGTCACTGTGACACGCACAAGTAGGTGAGTGCGGTGAGGCTGGCGATGCTGGTGGGGATGGGGCCGTTCAGGTTCAAACCCAGTATGTTCCTGCGGCCATGGCGGGGATGGAAGGGGAGGCCCGTTTGTGTGCGTGCAGGTGCGGGTGCGTGCCGGTGCGCGCGTGGGTGTGTGCGTGCGTGCGTGCGTGCGTGTGTGTGTGTATGAAAGGGTAGCAGTCACAGGCATTTAAACAAGAGGGGTGTCGAGGCCTCCGAATCCAAAAATCGCAGCACAGAACACAACACGCAGCACACAGTACAAGGCATACAGGCGCACCGCAGAGCGCACAGCACGCAGCTGACAGTGCACGGGGGTCCTGAGGCGTCTCAAACCTAGAGCGCACAGCACGCAGCCGGGAATGCACGGGGGTCCACTGTGTGTCTCACAGGCTCTCGATCTTTCCCTCTGCATCGCATATAATCTTCTCAGCTAGTCGGCAGTCCGCGCCTGCCGTCCACCCGCTGAAGGTCCTGTTCCACGCCGCCGCGCACTCCTGCAGCGCCGCCGCTGCCACGCAACGCGGGAAACGCGGGCAGCGCTGGCAATTGCTGGTAAGTGAGGCAATGACTACTACGGGAGATTGCGGGCAACAACGTGGGCAATGCGGGCCATGCGGCAGGAAGCGGGGCGGACGTCGCAGATAGCACGGGTGACACGCGCAACGTACAGCCAAGGCGGCATAACGCGAAACGGTCGTGATGGGATGGGGTGATCCACTCGGGGGAATGAGGTAATGCCGCAGCATGCTGGCTGAACGCTCACAGCAGCGCACGTTACCGCACAGCACCACTGCACAACCCCCACCTTGGGACGCTTGTAGCGGAACTGCGCTATGGGCGTGCGGAAGAATCGCCATTGCCGCTACTACAACCAACAGCAGCGGCGCACGCGCGCGCAAAGCATGGAAACCTCCACGCCGCGAATTCGTGTAACCCCGCCATTCGCATGAGCCCCCCGCCGTTTTCCGCCAATCCACAACTTCCCGCGGGCCGCCACATCCCGAAAAAACGGCTCTCAAAGAGCCTCTCGGGATGTGCGTCGCTCGCATTGCCATGGCCTCCATGTCACGGGGTTGTTGTAACCATGACTTCGTTTGTGTAAATGGGGTGGTGTCACCATGACTTCGTTTGTAACCAGCATTGCCTTTCCATTTCCATGTCACTGTCTTGTTGTAACCATGACTTCGTTTGTGTAAGGAATTTGCCAATTCCTTACTGTAGCCTTGCCTTAACGGGTACAGCCCGAGCACTTCGCGTCAGGTGGCTCGGCCTACACTTCCGCACCGAACCAATGCCGAGATGCCCCTCACCAATCGCGACACATCCAACCCATCCACGTCCCGAGGTCCTCGCCTAGCACGGTTTCGACCCTATAAATGTGTGCTCCTTTATCATTCTCGGCATTCTGTAATTCATTCTCTTTATAGAAGTCTTCCGCGCACTCTGTTTAGTACAACTCATAACACTTGGTATCAGAGCTACTTTCCTAGCTTCCCCGTTTTTTAGAGTGTATTACTCCTCGGAGGGGGGACAGGGAAGGATGCCGTGGTGACAGGAGCAGCGCAAGAGCCGGCCAGGAGAACAGGTAGTTGCTCCTAGCGGCCATGAATTTCAAGGCGCTCCTGCGGCACCGACGGATCCTTACCCTTGACGGTCGAGATGGACCGTGGCCTCCCTCCCCCCGGGTGGCGGACAGCTTTTGCTGTTGTCGCATTTAATGCGTGAGTTAACTGTGCTGGTTTTCGTCAATTTCGGAGTTATTTCTGTGTAACGGCTGACGTCGGCAGGCTCGTCGTCAGCGCACGTCCGAAATTGTCGGAAGCAACGTGGTGCGAGTTGACATTCTTCACGTGGTCGTCAACTGCGCACGAAAACATCGGAGTGGACTGCATGCAGCAAGTGGCGTTGAAGTGTCTTCGTCACGTTGCGCATGAGCCCGCTGGAGGACTTCGGCAAGTGGCGTGGCGTCACTGTGCGCGAAGACTTCGGGTAGCAGCACGTGGAAAACGACTGTTGTGCGAGCAGCCAGGCGCAATATGTGATTTGCGTCAGAAAAACCGACGGCGAGGCGGCGTGGCGACTGCCCGAAGAAAGCGGGGGTCTACCGTCGTCCCGCCCGGGTGCGGCAGGTGTTGCTGCAGGAGGGTGCGTCGTGGGCGTTTTTCGGCAGGAGCGGCACAGTGTGGGACGGAAGTTATTTTCAACCCGCCGAAAAGATCGGAACAGGCCGCCTACGACTAGACTGTTCGCGTTAGGGTCACTTCTGCGCTTGCAACAAAGTCGGCCGAATTTTTCGGAGCAACAGCAGCAGCCGACACTGTACTTCAGGCGACACAGGTTCCCCCTGATCAAGGGAAGTTGCGCCGCAGACAGTACACCGACGGGACAACGGTTTGGCGCAGCGTCTAGACCCGCGAATTTCGCATGGTCTACCGGCTACAATAAACGGAGTTGCGACAAATACGGGTCTTGCGAGAGAAACGGATTCCGAGCTTCAGGAGGGGAGAAAACGACCTACTGCAACGACTTTTTGCTGAGGCCGAGTTTCACGGCTAAGCGGCGGTAGCAGAAGGAGCTCCCTACCGGCCAAAGTCTACCAACGTTTCACGTACCTCACACCAGAAAGGTCTCGAAGGCAATTCGTAAGTCCTGATGGCCACTGGATAAAAAGGTGGGCCCTGTGTTTTAGCCCTGTGCTGGTTAGAAAGGCGTGGGTGGCGCTGGTTCGACAGCAGGGCGTACAAGAAATTTTCGTGGTGCGACACTGTTTTGGCCCCGACAAAAACGGACCATCGGCAACAGTACTCCGCCGAAAAAGTCGGGGTTGAAGAAGTTGTGGCAGCTGGCGGTGTTTCTCCGGATTCAACGGTCTACCCGACGAAGGTGTAGCAGCGAAGACGGAGTTCCCAAAGCAGCGGAGTTTTTAAATGCGATAGGCACGGTGGGCAGCGAAGCGGCCGGCTGAGAGTTTGATATGATAAACTCACTCCGACTACGATAGCGTTCGCGCCTTCATCGAACGCCAGAAAAATCGCGGGTCAACACGGAGAATACCTCATCCGACAAAAGCGAATGCTGGGTGAACGGCGGCAAGCGAAATTATCGGGGGGTGAAAGCAAAAAAAGGAGGGAAAGTTGTGGGTGCCGCTTCAAGCTACTTGGGTGATAGGCTGAGCCCGTGCACCACTCCACCGTGAATTTCGGAGTCTATTCGGTAGACACCCGAAAGGGTTTGATATTGTTGCATGGAGGCGCGGCGAGGGGTGTATTGCCAAGGATGCCTGGGATTTGCTAAGTAATTTCGACGGGTACGAAGATGGTGTCAGAATGTGATGTTTGTCTAGCCTGCAGTGGGGTACTCTATAGCGAGTACAGCCCAAATTAGGGTTTGCTATATGTACTCAACTGCCTGCTAGTGAAAACACCTTCTTTCCTGTTTCTGATTCTTGCCTACTATTTCGACATGCTATCAGAGCAGGTCGACCCTCCTGGGTCGATCCTGTGGATGGGCCCGCCACCTAATGCTTCCGCTGCTGTCCTGCCTATCGCGCGCCCCGGGCGCGCGACAAGTTCTGCTTGCCGCGCGCTCGGGTGCACGGCGTATTTTTCATCCCGCCGCGCGCTCGGGGCGCGCGGCAGTTTTCTGCCCGCCGTGCGCGCCGAGGCGCGCGGCGGTTTTCTGCCCCGTCGATCCGCGCGTCGCCCCCTGTCGCCCGTCGCAGCGCCCCCGGGGACCTGCGCGTCGCCCCCCGTCGCCCGTAGCGGCCCGCGCGACCTGCGCCAGGCCCGCGCGCGGCCCGTACAGCCCGCGCGCGGCCCGTACGGCCTGCGCCAGGCCCGCGCGCGGCCCGTACGGCCTGCGCCAGGCCCGCGCGCGGCTCGTACGGGCTGTGCCAGGCCCGCGCGCGGCCCGTACAGCCCGCGCGCGGCCCGTACGGCCTGCGCCAGGCCCGCGCGCGGCCTGTACAGGCTGCGCCAGGCCCGCACGCGGCTCGGGCAGCCCGCGCGCGGTTCGTCCGGCCTGCGCCAGGCCCGTGAGCGGCCCGTACCGTCTGCCCCAGTGCCGCACGCTGTCCCCCGAGCTTCTGACCGCACTCCTGTGTTAGGGTTTGGGGGTGGAGAGTATGGGGGTGCCGTGTGTGTGAGCCGTCCCCTGCTCCTCCTCCTCCTCCGTCTCCCACTGCTGCAGCTGCCGCTGAGGGGGGTGGATGTGTTGGAGCCGTCGGAGTGGTACGAGGGGGGTGGCGTGTGAGCGGTGCTAGTGGTTCAGCAGGGGGTGTGTGAAAGGGGTGTGGGACAGTTGGGGGAGGTTGACCGGAGGTAGCCGACTTGTCGTCCGCAGCGCCTGAAGTCCAGAGAGCCACGACCCCCTGTGGCCGTGTAGTCCGGGGCTCTGCGCCCGGTAGCCACAGTGTGAGCACTCCTGGTAGTCCAGAGAGCCACGACCCCCTGTGGCCGTGTAGTCCGGGGCTCTGCGCCCGGTAGCCACAGTGTGAGCACTTCTGGGAGCACAGTGAGCCAGCTGCGCCTGTCGCCGTGTAGCCCGGGTTTAGCCTGGTAGCGTCAGTGCTGCGCACTCCTATTGCCCGTGTGTCTGCAGCTTCAGCCGTCGCCTCTCATCTTCTCGTCCTCCATAGTTTCTCCTCCTCATCACTTGCCCTCTGTGATAGCCTCTAGTTTTGCTTATCCTTGTGAACTATTGCACTGCCTGCTTGTTGTGTTGATTGTACCCCACTTTGACTATGGGGGTGTGTCAGAATGTGATGTTTGTCTAGCCTGCAGTGGGGTACTCTATAGCGAGTACAGCCCAAATTAGGGTTTGCTATATGTACTCAACTGCCTGCTAGTGAAAACCCCTTCTTTCCTGTTTCTAATTCTTGCCTACTATTTCGACAGATACGAGAGTGGCGACGCTAGATACACCGGTTCTTCAAGGGGACAACCTACCAAGCGTACGAGTATTTTCGGCACCGACACTTACGGGTTTCAGCAGCAGTACTGGGAGCTGGGTCTTAGCGGAGTTCGGCGGCAACGGTCGGCAGTTCCGTTCGAAACGGCGGGGATGGCGCTTGGTTATGCGCGCAAAACCGACGGGAACACGATTGGCAGTTAATTCCGACTCCGTTCGGGGGTACCAGCCGCAACACTGGTAAAATTTATCGCAACAGGTGGGGGGGAGGAAGGACAGCTTTTTCGCCTCTGCCCCGAAGTTTTCGGCGAGTCACGACAACATCGCCGAGGTAGCTGACGTCATCGACAGTTCGAGTTCAACTTTGAGTGCAGCAGCTGTTTTTCGCCTCTGCCCGGTACTTTTCGGAGAATAGCGACAAAAGCCTCGGCGAGTCTGGACAAGACTGCTGGGGGCGCCGACAGCTGGAGAATCTACAGCGAGGATTTCTGCCACAACAACAGCACTTTCGACACCGCAGCTGCTAACATTTCTACGTGGTTCAGGACATTTGGTACTTCGAACTACCTTTGGCGTACGGGGTGGTTGTGATTTCATACCCGCGCAGCTGTGCAGTTTTGGTGGGCAGTCAATCTCGAAGGGGGGGAGAGAAAGTGCTCTCGCACTGTACTTGTCAGTGATTTTCTGACATCTCGTCTGACAGATACAGCACGACGGACGCTCGTGATCGAATTCACCGACATCGACGGGTCTTGATTCATCGGCCTCTAACAACGCGTCAGACTTCCCGCCACTACCACGTTCATCTCGACCGTCCGACACAGATCCGCCACATCAACATTCGCTTCCAACCGCCAGATCGACATCTGAAAACTTCTACGGCTGACATTCCAACTCTATTCAATTTCGCCTGGTCAACTGGTCAGCCTCGCGTCAACTCAGCGGTCAACGCTTTCTGCACCGTCAGATCCGTTTTCAACCGAGATCTGCAGTTTTCACGCTACTGTACGACTCGTCTACGGATAAGGGGACCTTATCTAGAAGGTGGGAGAGTGTAAGGAATTTGCCAATTCCTTACTGTAGCCTTGCCTTAACGGGTACAGCCCGAGCACTTCGCGTCAGGTGGCTCGGCCTACACTTCCGCACCGAACCAATGCCGAGTCGCCCCGCACCAATCGCGACACATCCAACCCATCCACGTCCCGAGGTCCTCGCCTAGCACGGTTTCGACCCTATAAATGCGTGCTCCTTTATCATTCTCGGCATTCTGTAATTCATTCTCTTTATAGAAGTCTTCTGCGCACTCTGTTTAGTACAACTCATAACAGTTTGTGTACGGGTGCGTTCTTGGCCGGTGTCTAGAATCTTGACACGAAGCTCTGAAAGGTTGGTACAATAGCAGCCTACATCAAATCGGCAAATCCTTACATATTAGAAAAATATAGTGAGCTTCTATAAACCACAGCTTATTCTCCCCAACTCCTCTCCCCTCCCTCCCCCTCACCCGCTCTCCTACAGGGCAGCTTCACGAGCAGCAATAGAGAAAGGGTTCTGCTCAGGGAGGAGGATCCTCATTCCGCTCAGGGAGGAGGATCCTCATTCCGCTCAGGGAGGAGGATCCTCATTGCCAGGATCTCCCGTTTGCAAATGTCTACGGTCGCTTTGACCAGGTCCCACTTTCTCTGTACAGATCGGCCACAAACCTACCACTATCTTCTTCCTCCAGAAGCCAGTCTAGCTTTGCATCTAGCGCATTCTGACTGAACCCCCCAAAAAACACATCCCCATGGTCCCCACCCTGCTGCTCAGCAGCACCCCCACCACCTGCTGCACTGTGCATGTCACCACCCCGGCTGGTGCCTGCGTTGCCTTGCCGGGCAGGTCTGGGCGCGGGTGGGCGGAGAGGGAGCGCTTGAGTTGAGAGCCTTGAGAATGAAAATAGATAACCTGGTCCCTCTCTTTACACATCTGTCACAAACACACCACTATCTTCGTCTTCCATCAGCCAATCAAGCTTCGCGTCTAGCGCATTCTGACTGAAACCTCCATCCTCCCCACCAGGCCCCCCACCACCCGCAGCACCAGCAGTTTCACCATCCCCGCTCGTCCCTGCGTGGCCAGGCAGAGCTGGGCGCGGGTGGGCGGAGAGGGAGCGCTTGAGGGCCTTGATGGAGCGGAGCAGGTCGGTGACAGTGGGGCGGGAGAGGGGGTCGGAAGCGGTGCAGGAGAGGGCGAGGCGGACCATGGGCAGCACGATGGCGTCGGGTGCTTGGGGCAGGTGGGCGGCGCGAAGCTGGGCTGTCATGTTGCGAGATATTAAGTTCTGTGCCTGCATGTCCAGGGATGGGATTTTCCAACGAGTTGGGATGGGAGTGGGAGGAATCAAAGGGAGGAGATGGATGCATGAATGTTTGTTGTGCATCCACAGAGGCGTGACACACTGATGTGGTGGTGTGGCGTGGCGTGGCGGTTGAGAGTTTGGTTCATCGTGCCTGTGAACGAGTACATAAGCAGCTGGTGCATGTGCAGCAGGTGTATGGTGCAGTGGTGCAGTGCAGTGGCATGAAGAGAAGGAGAGATAGAGAGAAAGCGAAGGTGCTACCTCAGTCCTCTTTCCCCCCCAGCCTCTTCCCTCCTTGCCCTGTCCTTTGGTTATATAAATGCACTTGGTGCCTTTACTCTGCACCATGTGCAGTGTGCATGCATGGACAAAGCCACCTTCCTGCAGCAGCTCTGCATTGCAAACACAACGAGAAGAACATCCCTGGGAGTCCGCACCGCACTCACCCAGTCCCGAATGTGCACTGCCCTTCTGCCACTAGAGCCACTGCTCATGCTGCTGCTGCTGTTGTAACTGTTAGTACTGATGCTGTTGCTGCTACTGCCGCCAACCCCGGTGCCCGAGCCATTGCCCTGCTGATCGTCGGTGCTGGCAGCTGTGGGTATCAAGGCAGGCCGGCCGGTGATAAGCTGCAGCATCACCACACCAATGCTGGCAGGTGGGGATGGGGGGATGGGGGAGAGTGGAGACGTAAGTAGGCGTGGGCGGAGAGAAGTACGGACTGGGAGGGGAGGAAGGAAGAGGCGGGCATTTGACTGAGAGTTGAGTTGACTGAGAGTTGAGTTGACTGAGAGTTGAGTTGACTGAGAGTTGAGTTGACTGAGAGTTGAGTTGACTGAGAGTCGAGTTGACTGAGAGTTGAGTTGACTGAGAGTTGAGTTGACTGAGAGTTGAGTTGAGCAGCAACAACATATGGTGGCTCCCATTTTCAAATACATTCACATTTGTGAGGAGTAGGCGAGACCATGGAGGCACTGTTGAGAACTCCCAACAGCACGGACAGTGACTCCTGCTGGAAAGGTCAACAGCTCAAAGTTGGAGCAGCACGGACCTGAAGACATCGGTGGAGGGAGTGGTGCGAGCAGAGGCATGCAGGATTGGGTCCATGTATGCATGGTTGGCAGGTGGCCGTGTCACCCTCCCTGCTGATGCTGCTGCTGCTGCTGCTGCTGCTGCTGGTGCTGCTGTGGGGATGGATGGGAGGGCGTCGCCCATTCTCACGGCCATGCAACCAGCCAAGACAGGCTGAGGGAAAGGCATGGGCACGGGATATTGGGGAGGCGAGGGGCAAGGGAATCAAAGAGAGAGAGAGAGCAACGTGAACGCAGGGAGAGGCAGCTGACGGTTGCTGAGAGACGAGTGCGGAAATGGGAGAATGGAAAGAGGCCCAGCTGAACACCTGCATCTCACGTCACCTGCAGCGCGGTGTCAAGCAGGATGTTGCGTGGGTGTATGCGGCCATGCACGACCCCATGGCTCTGGATGTGCTTCAGCCCGCGCAGCACACCCGCGGTCACATCCAGGCATTGCCACACCGACAGAGGCACACCGCCCTCTGCATGGGGACAGTGGGGACAGAGGGAAGAGGGGTAAACAGACAGAGGAAACATGGCTGGAACATGAGTGTCTATGCTGGAACATGAGTGCCAAACACAAGTAGTGTTGCGGGAAAATAGGGAACTCGTTGCAAAAGGTTTGCGAGAATCCTCACAAAAGATTGTGGTGGGACAGATATGAACCATATTGGGGAAAGCATTGTTTTTTGAGAATTCAAAAAAAAAAAAAAAAAAAAAATCTGAGAATTCTAAAAAAACATCCTCACTAAAGATAGTGGTAGGACAGATATGAATCGTATTGGGGAATGCATGGAAGCAAGAGGGTGGTGATGAATGAGTGCAATACGCAGGCAGAGATGCAGAGGCATGGAGGGAGGGAGGGATAGGCATGGGGAGAGTAGGGTGGAAGGGGGACCACGAGTGAACGTACCTGCAAATAGGCGGCTGTGCAGATTGCCTCCTGGCACCCAATCAAACACTAGCACCTGCTCTCCTGCTTGCTCCACCGCATGACTGGTAGCAGCAGTGAAATCGGCACTGGCGCTTCTGACACTATTAGCAATAGCACTCTTAGCACTATTAGCACTAGCACTCGTAGAACTATCAGCACTAGCACTCGTAGCACTATCAGCACTGGCAATCCTGAAACTATCGGCACCGGCACCAGCAGCACCAGCAGCAGCAGCAGGAGCAGCAGGAGCGGCATCAGCACTAGCACTCTTAGCACTTTCAGAACTAGCATTCTTAGCACTATCAGCATCAGCACCAGCACCAATAGCAGCAGGCGAGTGAGGGTCAAGGGCACTGCCACGCTGCTCCCAGCAATACCCCAGAAGTCGCTGCAGGTTGGTATGGCGGATGGTCCAAAGCGTGGCCACCTGGGCAGGCAGGGAAAGCACCCACAAGGAGGGGGGGATACAAGGGCACGTTACAAGGGGAAGATTATGGTACTTGCAGGGAAGAACTATTGACAACTCTCTCACCTCTTTCTGGAAGTCGGTGGAAAGCTCCTCGTTGCCGCGCCTCACAACGAACCACTCCTGGCGCGCATCGAGAGGACTCACTGCCTTGTACCTCTGCCCTCCACTGCTGCTGCTGCCACTGCTGCTATCCTCACTCCACCCACCCGTTGCTTGTGCCACGACAGACATGGGGAACTTGGGACAGCGGGCACGACCGAAGACACGGGATGCTGAAGTGGAAGGGGGAGAGGAGGAGAGAGGAGAGAGGAGAGAGGAGAGAGGAGAGTGGAGAGTGGAGAATGGAGAGAGGGAGGAGGGGAGGAGGGAAAGCGAGTTGAGAAGTTGATGGTGAGAGGTGGGTGAGACTGGCAGCAGTGAGAACGATGATGGTAACTGGCTGTAGCAGTGACCACAAGGGCAGTAGTTTGTGGGCGGAGTGAGAATCCCAGGCTCAGGCATTGGATGAGGAACTATGATGGCGCTGTGAACAACAGAGGAGGCTGGGGCGGTAGATCTGCAGCAGCAGCAGCAGGAGAAGGAGAATCAGCAGCAACAGCAGCAGTAGCAGCAGCAGCAAAAGCAGCAGCAGCAGCAGCTAACGGGGTGACAGCAGTGTGTTGTTGAGAGGATGACCAACAAGCGCCACGAGCAGGGGAGGTGCACGGAGAAAGCAGAACGGATGGCCGCCAGGCCAGGCCGCACTCGAATATCCCTTCGTGCCACACTGCCAGCCCCATTTCACAAAGCTAGTCTTGAGGCACCTCAAAAGTAGACCCTTTGTGCCACTGCCAGCCCTATTTCACAAAGTTACTTCTGAGGCACCTCAAGAGTAGACTCTTCTTGCCACTGCCAGCCCCATTTCACAAAGCTCTTGGATTTGTGGCACAGTACCCAACCTGCCCTTACCCGAGGCAGCTAGCGGCTGTAGTTCCGACCCCTGGGCTCCCCGTCTCACACACCCAGCAGCCACGACAGCAGCAACAGCAGCAGCCACAAGCAGACACAACGCCCCCACGATTATTCCCACGATTGCAGCAGTTGACAAACCGGTGGAGGGTGGAGGAGCAGGAGGAGGGGCGAGCGAAGAGGAGACAGCAAGAAGGGAGGACAGAGGTGGGGGTGGAGGGGCCATGAGAGCGAGGCTGGGAGGGAGAGGAGGTGAGAGGGGAGGAGGGGGAGGAGGGTTGCGGAGTTGGCCTGATGGGATAGAGGGATTGTGGAAGGGGAGAGCAGCTGTTGTGTGAGCAAGCTGTGATGTCAATACAAACTGTCAGATGGCATGCTGGCTAATGATGCCTTGAAGGCTTGCATTCACAAAGGAACACGAGAGGCAACTCCGTTACAGTGGGAGACACACAGGCGAGCAGAGCCATGAAATATCAATCACTTTTCACCGTTGAGTGGGGTGCACGAGGCACAGAAGTCAAAGCAGAGAATCCGGCAGAAGAAGGAGGAGGTGTTCTGCTGTATCTCACAGCTGCTGCCAGCCCTGCCGCATGTCAACCCTGCAGGGATGTCTCTGGGATGGGAAGGCCAAGATGACAGGGGAGAATGGGAGAGTAGCGGGGGAGAGTAGCGGGGAAGAGTAGCGAGGAAGAGTAGCGGGGGAGAGTAGCGGAAAAGACTGTGGGAAGGCGACCGACCAAAGATGCGTAGGCAGTGATGATGATGGTTTCCTTCGTGTGCTACTGCTTTTCTTGCTTAAGATTTCTCATAAATGTCTTTTGATACCCCAACCCAACGGACGCCTCCCGACTTTGATGCCTTCCAATGCAAGAAATCGAAGAGTTTTCGACCGCAGCAAGCATACGGATTGGTTTTTTAGAATTCTGAAAAAGAGATTGTAGAGTTTCGACCGCAGCAAGCATACGGATCTGACGTCCAGCGGCATGCCTGTGCATGGAGACTCACGGAATCAAGGCAGCAGCCAGGCGAGGTGAGTCCCTACAAGGACTTGACACACATGCACGCACATACTAGACACGCCCCTCCCCGCCACACACACCCACGCACACACACACACACACATGCACGCACACGCGCACGCGCGCGCACACACACACGCACACGCACACGCACACGCACACCCACACGCACACGCATACACACACAAACAAACACCAAAAGAATGTGGCGCGTGATGGAGGGCAGGGTGAGACGCAGAGCAGAGGGGCCCACACTTTGAGGAGATTGGGGAGAGCACCAAGGGAGGCTGGCAGCGAGCCAGACACGTTGGTGTTGGCGATGATTCTGTAACAGCGCGGTTGTTGTGGGGTGAGCGGCGACGGGCAGATGGAGAGGAGTAGGCGGGGTGAGGAAAGGTCATGATGGTACCCTGGTAACGATAATGACACAAGTCGAGGAGATAAGTTTATATCTTTTTTTTTCTTCTTTTTTTAGGATTAAACAGTTGTAAAAAAAGAGATAAGAATGAATGGGTTTGAGCAGAAGCGGGTGAGGTGACTCAAGGGCCACATGCACGCACTGTTCTGTACTGGTAAGGTTGTGTGTGTGCGTCGATGGGCGTGGGTGCATGGGTGCGTGCGTGGATGCGCGCGCACGCGCGCTTGTGTGTGCGTGTGTGTGCATGCGTGCTCGTGCGCGTGCCTGCGTGCGACCATGTGCACACGTGTGCATGAATGCATGTGTGCGTGACACCCCTCGCATGCTCACAACCCAGCACCACATACAAGTACTCGAGCCTGGAAAGCCGACCAATAGTACTGGGGATGGTGCCACTGAGGCGAGTCTGGGAAAAGTCGCTGGAATGCAGCGCATTGCAATGCAACAGGGAAGACACAAGATAGTATGCAGAGGGAAGTGGGAGGGGCAGACAACAGGGCAGGCAATTGGTGGGATAATACGTTCAAGACCAAAGGCTCTGTCAGTAGCGGACAGGTGGGTTGCAGAGGTCTTATTTCCATCAACTTGAATGGTTTTTAGAACAACGGATCAAACCCCATGAAATGAATGAAGAGATGAGCCTGGTTAACTGTGACTCTGTGAGCTAGAACGTTTTCTTGGAGAGCCAGATTGAACAAATCGTCAGCTTAAAATCAGCACAACATGAAACAGTCTCGGTAGGGATGGGAGGTAGGGACGGGGCTGACAAGTAGGTGAGAGAGGAGAGGGCGGAGATGATGGAGGGGATGGTTCCTGACATGCTGGTGTTGGCTATTATCCTGAGAAAGGGCCATGAGGGGTGTGGGTTGTGGAGAGGGGAGGGGTGGAGGAATGGAAGAGAGACCAACTAAAACACGTGTGAATGGGGAGAGAGCGAATGGGGAGGAGAAAGAGAGAGTGGTATGTGAGAATCGTTGGGGTAGAATCCCTTTGCTATGGAGTGAATCCGAAAGGCACGATGTGATCGTGGAGAGAGGACGCGTTGGAGTGAATGCATAAGGCACTGGGTAGAAAGAAGATCAATGACAGCTGTGCTGTTGACCACATGCATGCACAGCAGCACCCATGCACAGCAGCACCCATGCACAGCAGCACCCATGCAAATTTACAGCTCCTCGAGGTTCTTGAGAGCCGTGATGGTGGAGGGAATGGGTCCCGAAATCCTGGTTTGAGCAAAGCCCCTGCCACGTGCCATGTGGCAAGGTTGAGATGTGATGTGACATGTATGCGGCACGTGGCGCGTGCCATGTGGCATGTGCCATGTGCCATGTGCCATGTGCCATGTGGCATGTGCCATGTGGCATGTGGCATGCATGATTCTGTTCGTCTGGCGGCTAGCGGCAGCAGCTCCTTTGAAATAGACAAGGGGGGCATGGCATACCATATGACAAAAAAATAACGGGACTATGATATCGTCAGCAATATCACCGTGAGACCTCTTAGAGAATCTTGTCTTAGCCTTAACAATCTTGTACCCTAATAAAAACCTAAGCAGGTGGCGAGAGATGCTCACAGGTTTCGGAGCTGGGAGAGGCGTGTGATGAAAGAGGGGAAGTCCCAGCAAAGTTATTCGTGGTGATGTCACTACAGGCGGGGCAGAGGGCAGAGGGCAGAGGGCAGAGGGCAGAGGGCAGAGGGCAGAGAGCAGAGAGCAGAGAGAGCGAATGAAACTGCGTAGAATCTAAAGCAGCAGTAGATGTGATCACCTGGGAGTAATATGATAAGGTGGAGTACCTTAAAAGCAAGAAATTGACAGACACAGGCCTTTACCTTTTACAACCAGTGGGTGCCCGTATCTTTTACTGTGACACGCACAAGTGGGTGAGTGTGGTGAGGGTGGCGATGCTGGTGGGGATGGTGCCGTTCAGATCTAACCCCGAGAAGTTCCTGCGGCCATGGTGGGGATCGGAAGAGGAGATTCGCACACAGGGCCAGCGCTTGCGAGGAGAAGGAAGGAAGGGGAAGGATACCGAACCGATGATACCGCTTCTTTTGGTTTCGACCTCCCTGGAGGCCGGCTCTGCGTTGCGCAAGTGTGTGGTCTCGCTGCTAGCTTGGCGCAGAGCCACAGCACAGGTGTTGAAGTACCCCCCGGCCCCTGGGGGAGCAAATAGCCGTACATAGGTGCCAGCCGGAGTCTGCGGCGATTCTGCCGCACTCGTCCCGTAGCGCGTGACTGTGTGCCTGTGCTACCCCCCTCCCTTTTGCCCGTCCCCCAGCGAAGGAGGTGGTTCTGGTCCCGGCAGTCGCTCGCACAGCACACAGCACGGCACGCAGACACAGCACGCGCACGCCCACAGCACACGGTGCACAGAACACGGGAAACAGGGCACAGCAGCTAGCGAGCGCACGCGGGTACACAGTGTGTCTCACAGGCTGTCGATCTTTTGAGTTGAGACGTCTCAACACAAACACTTTTATCATATAACGGGGCACAGCAGGCAGCGCACGCGGGTACACAGTGAGTCTCACAGGCTGTCGATCTTTTGAGTTGAGACGTCTCAAAACAAACACTTTTATCATATAACGGGGCACAGCAGGCAGCGCACGCGGGTACACAGTGAGTCTCACAGGCTGTCGATCTTTTGAGTTGAGACGTCTCAAAACAAACACTTTTATCATATAACGGGGCACAGCAGGCAGCGCACGCGGGTACACAGTGTGTCTCACAGGCTGTCGATCTTTTGAGTTGAGACGTCTCAAAACAACACTTTTATCATATAACGGGCACAGCAGGCAGCGCACGCGGGTACACAGTGAGTCTCACAGGCTGTCGATCTTTCCCTCTGCATCGCACCCGACCGTCTCAGCCAGCAAGCAGTCCCCGCCTGCCGTCCACCCGCTAAACGTCCTGTTCCACGCCGCCGCGCACTCCTGCAGCACCGCCGCTGCCACGAAAACGCGGGTAACGCAGGAAGCACGGGTGACAGTCCAGGCAGCACGGGTAGCACGTGCAAACGTAAAGCCAAGGGATGACAGGATGGAAACGGTCACAATGGGATGGGGTTGGGTGACGCAATGCCGCTGCATGCTGGCTGAACGCACACAGCAGTGCACGTTAACGCACAGTACCATTCCGCAATCCCCCACCTTGGGACGCTTGTAGCCGAACTGCGCTGCAGACGTGCGCAAGAGGCGCCATTGCCGCCACCACCAACACCAGCGCACACGCGCGCCTAGCATGAAAATCCCCACGTCGCGAACCCACGGTGAAACCCCGACATTCGCATGCGCCCCGCGCCGTTTTCCGCCTATCCACACCTTCCCGCGGCCGGCCACATCCCAAGGAAACGGCTCTCGAAAAGACTCTCGGGATGCGCGTTGCTCGCTCCGTCATGGCCTCCCAGTCACTGGGCTAAAGCTCCAGTATACATTTTGATTGCATGCACTGGTGAAGTATAGGAGGAAAGAGAGAAAGTGGACGTAGAAGCTGCCACCTACCGTCATAGACCGAATTGAGAGATGATTGGTTGGGACTCTCAACTTGGGCGTTGTATTTCGCAGCGGATTTTTTCACCCCCGAACCGAATTGTTTACGCGCTTCGGTGATCCAAAATGTGCGTGAATTTGATTGGTTGGTTTGACTGCCATGATTCTGGTGTTTATGCAAGTTGCCAATTGCCACGACAAAGAGGTGTAGCCATCATGGGTACACTTATTAGTTGTTAATTGGAGAGTGCTCCTAATTCAATATCTGAAGTTATTACAACAACTTAGTCAAGTGAGCCTAGCAAATATAACGACGGGACGTAGCTAGGCAGGGACCTTCGGAAGCGAGGTTGGGTGCTGGCCTAGGGAGGTACAGTCTGAAGGCGAAACGGGGCTTCTGAAGGCGAGGCCATCGAACCGAGCCAGGACTTCCAAAAAGTGTGAGTTGTGCATGTGTCGTAGCGTTATCTCAGGAATGAAGAAATCCTTACACATATACCGCAGACCTTATCGACACTCACATACCACACAACTAATTGCTACTCATCCACCACACCTTATCGTTACTCATCAACCACACTACCCATTAACCACACACCTTATCGTGACTCATCTGCCACACCTTATCACTACTCATCTACCACAACCCTTCACCTGTACTCCCTCCTTCACGAGGCACTCCTTTTGAGGCAGCTGAATTTAGATATTAAACCAGGCTCCTTTACCGGTCACAAACCTACCACTATCTTCTGCTTCCATCAGCCAATCGAGCTTCGCATCTAGCGCATTCTGACTGAACCCCCCTGATGACCCATCCCCAATCTCCCCCCCTTGCTGCTCCCCACCCCCCCCACCGCCTGCAGCGCCGGGGGTCTCACCATCCCTGCTCGCCCGTACGTTGGCCGGCAGGGCTGGGAGCGGGTGGGCGGAGAGGGAGCGCTTGAGAGCCTTGATGGAGCGGAGCAGGTCGATGACAGTGGGGCGGGAGAGCGGGTCAGAAGCGGTGCAGGAGAGGGCGAGGCGGACCATGGGCAGCACGATGGCGTCGGGTGCTTGGGGCAGGTGGGCGGCGCGAAGGTCCGCTGTGATGTTGCGAGATATTAAGTGCTGTGCCTGCACAGGGATGGGATTTTTCAACGTGTTGAACCGGGGATAGGAGGAGTAAGGAGAGGAGATGGATGCATGAGAGGTTGTTGTTGCCCCATAGAGGTGGACACACCGGTGGGGTGGCGTGGTGCGGCGTGGCGTGGCGTGGCGTGGCGTGGCGTGGCGTGGCGTGGCGTGGCGTGGCGTGGCGTGGCGTGGCGTGGCGTGGCGTGGCGCGCAGCACCTCTGCACTGCAAACACAACGACAAGAACAGACCTGTGATTCCGCACTGCACTCACCCAGTCCCGAATGTGCACTGAGCTGCTGCTACTGAAGCCGCTGCTCATACTGCTGCCGCTGCTGCTGCTGTTGTAGCTGTTTGTGCTGACGCTGCTGACGCTGTAGCTGCTACTGGCGCCACCCCCGCTGCCAGAGCTGTTACCTTGCCGGTTGTCGGTGCCTGCAAAAGTGGGTATCAGTGCGGGCCGGCCGGTGATGAGCTGAAGCATCACCACACCAATGCTGGCAGGTGGGGATGGGGAAGGGTGGGGAGTGGAGAAGACAGTAGCGGCGGGAGGAAAGGAGGGAGATGCGTCAGGCTGGGTAATCTGTTGAGCTGATTGTTAGTCACAGCGCAAGCACATGCGATCATTAGCAAAATAAGCGGTTCCTGCTTTTGTGGCCAGTGGCCACTCAATAAAACGGATTAGCAGCATCTGGTTCCTTGCATTGTGTAGCAGGAGAGAAGAGGTGGGGAGAGGGGGCGCGAGAGGAGATGCGGAGGGGGACAGGAAAAGGGAGACAGGTAGAGGTGCGTCAGTGGAAAAAGTTGCGAGAAACACTGTTGCAAAAGCTTGTCTGGGTGAATTCAAGATCGTGTAGGACTGTATTAGGAGTTGGGTTGAGCAGCACGGACCTGAAGACATCGGTGGAGGGCGTGGTGCGAGCAGAGGCATGCAGGATTGGGTCCATGTATGCATGGTTGGCAGGTGGCCGCGTGACCCTCTCTGCTGGTGTGACCGATGATGGTGCTGGTGATGGTGCTAGTGATGATGCTATTGCAGGATCTGCTGCTGGTTTTGGTGGTGGTGGTGCTGTGGGGATGAATGGGAGCGGGTCGCCTATTTTCACGGCCATGCAACCAGCCAAGACAGGCTGAGGGGAAGGCATGGGCATGGGGTAGTGGGGAGGAGAGGGGCAAGAAGCGGCGTGAATGCAGAGGTTAAGGGAGGGGACGCTTCTGATGGTTGATAAGACTAGGAGGACGGAGTTGGGAGAATGGAGGGGAGCTAAGTGTGTGTGGCAGAACAGATGGGTGGCGTTGTGTGAGCAAACCGTCTGACATCTCCAGCGAGCAGAAGATTAGGAGGAGGTTTATACCAGGTGCATCTCGTGTGATGTGTGGCATTGTGTGGCAACTACGTGTGACTTCACCTGCATCTCCACGTGATTGAAGAAGGGTTTTGAGACGTCTCAAAACCCTTCTTCAATCTCGTGTGATGTGTGGCATTGTGTGGCATTGTGTGGCATTGCGTGGCATTGTGTGGCATTGTGTGGCAACTACGTGTGACTTCACCTGCATCTCACTGCAAGCAACTGCATGTCGTTTCATGTGCATGGGGATTGAGTTGGCACGGAAAGTTGGAAACTCGCCTGCACGGCAGAGTCAAGCAGGATGTTGCGTGGGTGTATGCGGCCATGCACGACCCCATGGCTCTGGATGTGCTTCAGCCCGCGCAGCACACCCGCGGTCACATCCAGGCACTGCCACACGGACAGAGGCACACCGCCCTCTGCATGGCGGGAGGAGAGGGAGGGGGCCACAGAGAAGTAGAGGGAGAGGGAGAAGTTAGTGGTGTTTCGGAAGAGGAGGGGGACAGAGGCGCACCGCCCTCTGCATGGTGGGAGGGGAGGAGGAGGAGGAGGAGGAGGAGGAGGAGGAGGAGGAGGAGGAGGAGGAGGAGGAGGAGGAGGAGGAGGAGGAGGAGGAGGAGGAGGAGAGAAAGGGGGGGTCGGAGGGAGGGGGGCAGAGGAGAGAGGGGGGAGAAGGCAGAGGCGAGGGGACAGGAGTGAACGTACCTGCAACGAGGCGGCTGTGCAGATTGCCTCCTGGCACCCACTCAAACACTAGCACCTGCTCCTCTGCTTGCTCCACCGCATGACCGGAAGCAGCAGCAGCAGCAGCAGCAGCAGCACCATCAGCACTAGCACTGCCAGCACCAGTACTCTTAGCACTTCTAGCACTGCCTTCAACTCGGGCAGCAGCAGCAGCAGCAGAAGCAGGTGAGTCACGAGCAAGGGCACTGTCACGCTGCTCCCAGCAGTGCCCCAGCAATCGCTGCAGGTTGGTATGGCGGATGTAGCAAAGCGTGGCCACCTGGCTAGGGAAGGAAGCACCGACAGGAGGGGGGATACAAGGGCACATTGGAAAGGGGTGAAACACGATACGATGCAAGCTCTGGCACTAAAACTGCTGGAGCGGCAGTGGTGGCAGCAGCGGTGTAGTACCCTCCACAGCACTCTCACCTCCTTCTGGAAGTTTCTGGAAAGCTCGTCGTTGCCGCGCCTCACAATGAACCACACCTGCTGGTGATTGAGAGGATTCACTGCCTTGTACCTCTGCCCGCCACTGCTGCTGCTGCTGCCAATGCTGGTAGCGTCACCCCACCCACCCGTTGCTTGTGCCACGAGAGACATGGGGAACTTGGGACAGCGGGAGCGACTGAAGACACGGGATGCTGAAGTGGGGGAAGGAGAGGGGGAGAGAGGAGAGAGGAGAGAGGAGAGAGGAGAGAGGAGAGAGGAGAGAGGAGAGAGGAGATAGGAGAGAGGAGAGAGGAGAGAGGAGAGAGGAGAGAGGAGAGAGGAGAGAGGAGAGAGGAGAGAGGAGAGAGGAGAGAGGAGAGAGGAGAGAGGAGATAGGAGAGAGGAGAGAGGAGAGAGGAGAGAGGAGAGAGGAGAGAGGAGAGAGGAGAGAGGAGAGAGGAGAGAGGAGAGAGGAGAGAGGAGAGAGGAGAGAGGAGAGAGGAGAGAGGAGAGAGGAGAGAGGAGAGAGGAGAGAGGAGAGAGGAGAGAGGAGAGAGGAGAGAGGAGAGAGGAGAGAGGAGTTGATGGTGAGATGATGATAGGGAAAGGTGGGAGAGGCTAGCAACGGTGACAACGATGACGGTGGCTGGCTGTAGCAGTGGCCGCAGGGGCAGTGGTGTGTCGGGCGAATGATAACCGCAGTGACAGGAATCGAACGAGGAACTATGTTGGCAATGTGAAGAGCAGAAGAGCAGTGGCAGCAGCAGCAGAAGCAGCAGCAGCAGCAGCGGAGGGGGTGGCAGCAGTGGGGGCAGCAGTGGGGGCAGCAGTGGGGGCAGCAGTGCCATAGATAGCAAAGCAGATGATGGCATAGGACTGAGCATGTACCCTGCCTGAGGTCGCTCTTTTACGGGCCTCAAAAGTCCTTTAAGCCACCTCACAAGCCAACTGAGGTCGCTTGTGGCAGAGGACGGAGGACTGGGTATGTACCCTGATGAGGTCGCTCTTACCTGCGGCAAGTGGCTGTAGTTTGGACCCTTGGGCTCCCCGCTGCATGTACGCCTTAGCCACGACAGCAGCAGCAGCAGCAGCGACAAGAAGACAAACTGCTCCCACAGATATTCCCACGATTGTGGAGGTTGGCAAACCGGTGGAGGGTGGAGGAGCAGGAGGAGGGGCGAGTGGAGAGGAGACGGCAAGAAGAGAGGAGAGAGGTGGGGGTGGAGGGGTCATGAGAGCGAGGCTGGGAGGGAGAGGAGGTGAGAGGGGAGGAGGGGGAGGAGGGTGGCGGCGTTGGCCTGTTGGGGAGAGAGAGGGGGAGGGAAGTGGAGCGTGGAGGGATTGTGGAGTGTTCTGGAGAGATGTGATGACTCCCAGATGGCAATATGACTGCCAGATGGCAAGGTGACTGCCAGATGGCAAGGTGACTGCCAGATGGCAAGATGACTGCCACATGGCAAGATGACTGCCAGATGGCAAGACGACCATCGAATAGCTTCACGACCGTCAAATACCGGCAGAAAGCAGGAAGGCAGAAGATTTTTTCAATTGAAACAACGTGTCACACATGCAAGCAGAAAAATAAGGAATGACTTTTTCACCGTTGGGTGGGATGCACGAGGCACAGAAGTCAAAGCAGAGAGCCCGGCAGAAGAAGGAAGAGGTGTTCTGCTGTATCTCACAGCTGCTGCCAGCCCTGCCACATGTCAACCCTGCAGGGGTGACTCTGAACAAAGAGTAAAATGGCAGGGGAGTAGGGAGGGTTGCGGAGTACTGTTGAGGGTTTAGGGTAAAAGGCAAGGATACTGACGAGAGCTGTGCAGGCAATGGAGTTTCTATATCTTCCTCACCGTTGAGTGGGATATTTAGCGCTGGTTTACTCATTATGATTCTATAGTAAGTTTTCAAGCGCATTAGATTTGTGGCACAATGTGCGCCTGTGGTTTTCTTCAGCTCATAGAGAGGTGAAGGGAGGGCAAAGTGTGGCGTTTGCGCAAGCATAAAGTGGGGCACTGAAGATTATGGGACCGAGGCAGGAGCAAGGATTGAACGTTCGATCATGGAAACACGCAGACATACACACACGCACGCATGCACACACACACCACACGCACACACACACGCACGCACGCACGCACGCACGCACGCACGCACGCACGCACGCACACACACACACACACACACACACACACACACAGACACACAGACACACGCACGCTCGCGCGCACATCACACCACAAAACAAAAGACGCACATGCGCTCGCGCACACACACACGCGTGAGCGCACACACACAAAATACCCAGCGAATGCGGTGTGTGGTGGAGTGCAGGTTGAAAAGGAATGCAGGTTGAAAAGGAATGCAGGTTGAAAAGGAATGCAGGTTGAAAAGGAATGCAGGTTGAAAAGGAATGCAGGTTGAAAAGGAGTGCAGGTTGAAAAGGAGTGCAGGTTGAAAAGGAATGCAGGTTGAAAAGGAATGCAGGGGACCAACACTTGAGTGAGTTTGGAGAGAGCACCAAGGGAGGCTGGCAGCGACCCAGACAAATTGGTGTTGGCGATACTCCTGAGACAGGGCGGTTGTGGGGCGAGTGAAACAAGGAAAAGGATATGCAGATGGGTGGTGTAGGTGGGCTGAGAATTAGTCAGGATAACACCAAGAAAACACCTTGGTGAGGATCACCGTTTTGATTAAGCTTGTGTTTCTTAAATCTTTAGAACTTTGAGGGGAGATAAGGAAATTATGAAATAAAGCGGATGGGCTTGAGCAGAAGTGAGTGGGTGACTCAAAGGCCATACGCACGAGTTGCGTTGTCCTGGTAAGGTCGTGTGCGTGAGTGCGTGCGTGTGTGTGCGTGCGTGCTTGCGCGCATGTGCATGTGCGTGTGCGTGGGTGCATGCATGCGTGTGTGTGTGTGTGTGTGTGTGTGCGTGCGTGCTTGCATGCATGCGTGTGGGAAACCCCTCGCATGGTCATGAACAAACCCAGCACAACATACAAGTACTCGAGACTGGCGAGCCGACCAATAGTGCCGGGGATTGTGCCACTGAGACGAGTGTTGGACGCTCGACTGATGCATGCACATTGCCAGGTGGATGGGATGGCAAGTAGATGCATGGCCAAGTGAGCGCTTTGCCAGATTTTTTTTTGAGTCGACTCAAAAACTGATGCATGCACATTGCTAGTTGGATGGGATAGCAAGTAGATGCATGGCCAAATGAGCGCACTGCCAGATGGATGCACGGTAGCATGCAGAGGAGAATGGGAGGGGCAGACAACAGGGCATGCAATGGTGGGACGGTGTGATGATCAGTTGAAGACCAGAGGAGAAGGAGTAGGAGGAGGAGGAGGAGGAGGAGGAGGAGGGGGAGGAGGAGGAGGAGGAGGAGGAGGAGGAGGAGGAGGAGGAGGAGGAGGAGGAGGAGAAGGGAAGATGTGTCAGTGGTGTAAAACCCAAAGGCAGGTTTAGGCACAACAAGAAACAGTCACAGTAGGGATGGGAGAGAGGGAGGGCACTGACAAGACAGTGAGAGAGGAGAGGGCGGAGATGGTGGAGGGGATGGTTCCTGAAATGCCAGTACCTGCTAACATCCTGACGAATGGTGAGGAGGGGTGTGGAACGTGGAGAGAAGAGGGGTTGGACGAATGGAACAGGGTCAAAAGAAGCAAATGTGTATGGGGAGGACGATTGGGGAGCGGATAGAGAGAGTGGTATGTGAGGGTGGCCAGAGTAGAATGCATGTACAAGGCAGTGGTGGTGAGCAGATCGTTGACACTTCAGCTGTTGATTAATTCCATGCATGCATGGCAGCACGCATGCACAGCAGCACCCATGCACGGTTACAGGGTTTTGAGGTTCTTGAGTGCCCCGATGGTAGAGGGAATGGGTCCGAAAAAACTGTTGTCGTCAATGTTTCTGCGATATGGCATGTGCCATGTGGCATGGGTGAGATGTGATGTGACATGTATGCGGCACATGACATGGAATGTGAGGCATGTGCAATGTGGCATGGATGACTGTAGGAGGCTAGACGCAGCAGCTTTTCTATTCTAAACATAGGGGGGGCATCACAAAACAAAGCGGGACAAATATGTCCAAGTCTAGCCTTAAGACTTCGTTCGTAGAACATTTCGGCATAGCCTTAACAGTTTCGTATCTGGAGAAATCTTGAGGGGTGCAGAGAGATGCTCACAGGTAAGAGAGCTGAGAGAGCCGCGTGATGAAAGAGGGGAAGGACCCAGAGAGATTATTATTCATAGAGAGATCACTGCAGGCAGGGCGGAGGGCAGAGGGCAGAGGGCAGAGGGCAGAGGGCAGAGGGCAGAGGGCAGAGGGCAGAGGGCAGAGGGCAGAGAGAGCGAAACTGCATAAGATGTGAAGCTGAAGTAAGTACGATTACCCGAGAGTGGGGTGGTGTATCTGCTAATAAGAGAACTAAACAGCACTGCACTCTACGGCACCGCACTGAACCGCACTGTACTTCCTCTCCTATTCCCCTCCGCTGTATCGCCCTCTCCAATGCATTGCAAGCAACACACGGAATTGCGTGCGGCGAGTTTCGCAACGCCTCAGAGCACAGGGGAGAGAGAGAGGAAGGGGAGCGACAGACAAGTAATCCGACCCACCCACTCCCTTTGTGACACACACAAGTAAATGAGCGTTTTTGAGGTGCCTCAAAAGTCGTCTCTCAACCCGCAATTACGAGGCGCCTCAACGGTCGAAGCACGGGTAGAGGGGGGCCATTGTGACACACACAAGGAAGTGAGCGCGGTGAGGCTGGCGATGCTGGTGGGGATGGTGCCGTTCATATCTAAGCCCGAGAACAGCCTGCAGCCATGGTGGGGGGCGGGAAGGGCCGGGCCGGCAGAGGACGAAACGTATTTGCTTCGAGAATTCTCAAAAGATGGGAAAAGGGCTGTTCAAGATAATGTAGAGCGAGCCTGTGTGTGTATGTGGTGTGTGTGTGGGGGGGTGGGAGGAGTGAGAGAGAAAGAGGGAGGGGGATGGAAGGGTAGGAGCTCAAGAGAAGCAGGTGGCAAGCAGTTGGAAGGAAGGGTTGTCAAGGATGCCAAATGGAAGCAGAAAATTGCAGCACAGCATACAACATGCAGCGTGCCACAGTTCACAAACATACAGGACACTGCAGGCAGCAGGCAGCAGGCAGCAGGCAGCAGGCAGCAGGCAGCCGCGCACGTGGGTACACAGTGTGTCTTACAGGCTGGTGACCATTCCCTCTGCATCGCACTCGATCCTCTCAGATAGCTTGCAGTCCCCGCCCGCTGTCCATCCGCTAAACGTCCTGTTCCACGCTGTCGCGCACTCCTGCAGCACCGCCGCTGCCACGCAACGCGGGAACGCGGGCAACGCGGGCAATTGCGGACACGTGCTAGATCGCGGGGAACGCGAGCAAAGCAGGAAGAGTGGCAGACATCGCAGATAGCGCAGATAGCAGCACGGACACGCGCAACGTACAGCCGATCGAGGGATCACGGGATGATGGCAATGGCAATGGGATGGGGTGGGAGGCAGTGCCGCAACATGCCGGCTGAATCCACACAGCACACGTTACCGCACAGCACCACTCCGCATCCCCACCTTGGGACGCCTGTAGCCGAACTGCGCTACAGTCGTGCGCAAGAAGCGCCATTGCCGCCACCCACATCAGCGCACGCGCGCGTGCAGCATCAAAACCCCGGTAAAATCGCGAATCCACGGTAAAACCCCGCCATCCGGCGAGCGCGTCCCCCGGAATCTTCCGCGTACTCACACCTTCCCGCGGGTGGCTACATCCCAAAGAAACGGCTTTGGGAAAGCCTCTCGAGATGAGCGTTGCTCGCTCCGCCATGGCCTCCCAATCAGGTCGTCACTCGCTTAGTGCATCGCGAGGAATTCTAGTAGAAGGAAAGCAGAAAATTAATGGGAGATCGAAGATCTCACCCTCCTCGGGTGCGAGCGATCTGATCAGAAAGCGAAGGAGAGACTATAACTTCGAAGGCTTCTATCATAGAAGTTTCAGGGGTTATTTCCACAAACCCTGCACTGCAAAGATTCTGAGGAGTCTTCTTCCACTGATGCAAGTCATAGTTAAAAAAATGGACACATGCTGAGCCTGAAAGATGGTGGCTGTTCTCGACCAGCCTGGGTGTGCCTGGTGATGTTCAGTGAAGATCAGAAATACGGATTTCAGGCAAAAATGTTCCACAGGTTCTAAACAGGCTGGTGGTTCTGCCAGGGGAAGTGCACCAGATCGCGGGCTCGAGGGATCTACACGGCTCCACGAGATGTACACGCGCTTCGGTGATCCAAGTTGTCCATGAGAGTTTTGTCGGTGGGGGTTTATCCAAGGTGCACGAATGTAACGGCAACGTACATTGAATAAGTACAACATTCCTGAGTTGGGCACAATAGATATGTAGACCTAATTCAAATAAAAAAGAACCCACAAAGTGTCAACGCAAAGCTCACCAAGCACAGTATCAAGAGGTTATCAACTGCCACGCCTCTCCCCTGTACAAATACCTTGTTATATCTTTCTCTCTAAATCCTCTCCAACGCCTCTTCCCTACGCCCTTCAATTCGGATATTACAACCTGAATAAGTGTATTCGGATTAGCGATTGAATGCAGGTTCTTCGATTATGCTTTGAGGCCCGAGGTGTGGGGGGGGAAGGCACAAGCATACACTCCCACAAACCCTTCCCTATCCTCCTTAAATAATAGTAACTCATTCTAAAGCTGCTGAAACCTCGAACAAGGTCCCACTTTCTCTCTACACATCTGTCACAAAAACCCCACCGTCTCACCATCCCCGCTCGTGCCTGGGTTGCCAGACGGAAGTGGGTTCGGGTGGGCGGAGAGGGAGCGCTTGAGAGCCTTGATGGAGCGGAGCAGGTCGGTGACAGTGGGGCGGGAGAGGGGGTCGGTGGCGGTGCAGGAGAGGGCGAGGCGGACCATGGGCAGCACGATGGCGTCGGGTGCGTGGGGCAGGTGGGCGGCGCGAAGCTGGGCTGTCATGTTTCGCGATACCAGGTGTTGTGCCTGCATGCACAGGGATGGGATTTTCCAACAGGTTGGGCAGGGGATAGGAGGAACGAAAGGAGGGAGATGGATGCATGAGTGCTTGTTGTGCATTCAAAGAGGCGAACGCACCGGTCTTGTGGTGTGGCGTGAAGTGGTGTGGCATGGCGTGGCGGGTGCATGTTAGGTTCACGTGTATTGTGCAGTGGCATGAAGAGAGAGGGAGAGAGAAACAAGTATTTGCGGACGAGGCAACCTTCCTGCAGCAGCTCTGCATTGCAAACACAACGAGAAGAACAGTTCAGAAACTTCGTGCTGCACTCACCCAGTCCCGAATGTGCACTGAGCTGCTGCCACTGAAGCCGCTGCTCATACTGCTGTTGCTGCCACCATCAACGCTGCTAGAGCTGTTGCCTAGCCAATCGTTGCCATTCCCTGCAGCTGTGGGTATCAGTGCGGGCTGGCCGGTGATGAGCTGCAGCATCACCACACCAATGCTGGCAGGTGGGGATGGGGGGATGGGGGAGAGTGGAGAAGACAGCAGGGGCGGGAGGAGAAAACGAAGAGACGTTTGGCTATCGTTAGTGACAACGAAAAAATGGAAGAGAGGAAGAGGAAGACAGGTCGAAGTGCATCAGTGGAAACCGTAGCTTGAGTAGAGCAAGGACTTGTCTGAGTGGATTCTTTAATAATAGATTTGAGCTGAATCGGGAGTTGAGTTGAGCTGAGCAGCACGGACCTGAAGACATCGGTGGAGGGCGTGGTGCGAGCAGAGGCATGCAGGATTGGGTCCATGTATGCATGGTTGGCAGGTGGCCGTGTCACCCTCCCTGCTGGTGTGACTGATGCAGCTGCTGATGCTGATGCTGATGGTGCTGGTGCTGCTGCTGGTGCTGTGGGGATAGATGGAAGCAGGTCGCCCATTTTCACGGCCATGCAACCAGCCAAGACAGGCTGAGGGGAAGGCATGGGTGCGGGTTAGTGGGGGGACGAGGGGCAAGAAGCGGCGTGAATGCAGGGGGTCAATAGAGAGACGCAGCTGATGGATGAGGAGGACAAAATCGAGCCTGCATCTCACTTCACCTACATCTCACTTCACCTGCATCTCACTTCACCTGCAAGTCACTCAGCACGTCACCTGCACGGTAGACAGTTCACCTCCAGAGCAGAGTCAAGCAGGATGTTGCGTGGGTGTATGCGGCCATGCACGACCCCATGGCTCTGGATGTGCTTCAGCCCCCGCAGCACACCCGCGGTCACATCCAGGCACTGCCACACTGACAGAGGCGCACACCCGTCTGCATGGGGGGAGGAGGAGGGGGGCAGAGGGGAGTGCATGGAAACAGAAGGGAGTATATGGGTATATGGGGGAAGGCAGGGCACATGCGTGCATTCACAGACCGAACAGAAGTGGTGTGAAGAGATGTGTTTGCAATAGGTTGTTGGTGATTGTCACACAAGTCAAGCGGATAAGATTGGAAGTGGCGTAAAACACGGAGTGGGTGGACTGGAGAATGATTGGTTTGGTGGAGCGACAGATGTTGGCTGAAAATCCAATATCAGACAAGCAGCGACAGAGTTTAGAGTACAAGATGCAAACAGAGAGGCTCACGGGGAAATAATAAGGGGAAGGGGGCATGGAGGCATGGAAAGGGGGATAAGCATGCAGAGTAGGAGAGCAAACCGTTGTGAGTGTACCTGCAACAAGGCGGCTGTGCAGATTGCCTCCTGGCACCCACTCAAACACTAGCACCTGCTCCTCTGCTTGCTCCATTGCATGTCCAGCAGCAGCAGCAGAAGCATCAGCACGAAAATTCTTAGCGCCATCAGCACCAGCACCGGCACCAGCAGCAGCAGCA